ACTTGGGTCACCGACGCAACGAAAACAAAACAAAGACAAATTGTGAACCAGCTGGACTGAACTCATCTCTGAGTCACAAAAGAGATCAATAGACGTGTCTCATACAGCTGCCTCTCCACATAAGAGACTCAGCCAGTGCTCTCTGAGTAGCAGTACTTGGGCAGTGTCGTATAAATGTGGAGGCCCATTCCCATGGCCACAAGGAACCAGGATCAACCGGCCCAGAAACAGCACCGACCCTGGGAGGTGGGCCCATGGCCAGCGAGCCTTCGAGGCCTCCCCTCTCGTACATCTCCCCATCACCTCTCCTCCGCATCCTCTCACACATGGAGGTGGAGGTAAGGGAAACAATCGTTTTGTTTTCAACAAACTTACATTTGGACACGAGTCAGGTTTTTTTTTACGGTTTTGACCAAAAAAACATTTAGGTATTTTTTTCCACAAACAACGCAAACAGCGCAGGGAAGTGGAAAACACACACGGGGAGCTGGGACACGCGTGTCTCACACGGGGAGCTGGGACACGCGTGTTTCACACGGGGAGCTGGGACACGCGTGTCTCACACGGGGCGCTGGGACACGCGTGTCTCACACGGGGAGCTGGGACACGCGTGTCTCACACGGGGAGCTGGGACACGCGTGTCTCACACGGGGAGCTGGGACACGCGTGTCTCACACGGGGCGCTATGTTGTATACGTCCCTTTTTCCACAATTAATATCAATAAAATATTTACCGATATATTGTTTTTTTTGTAAGTGGCCGAAATAATGAATGAAAACACGCAATTGGAGAATCGCCAGGTTGCCAAAGTACGATTTACCCTGACCTGCTGACATAATTTTGACAGTTCATAAACACGCCCAGGGTCAAAGGTCACAGACCGAGGGCAGCGCACAGCAAACTGCAAGATTGACGTAAACGCAGAGCCCAGGATCGCCGAGAGTTCGCGTTAGCCGCAGACATAGCCAAGCCAAACAGCTAAACCATTGACCCTGCATTGCTATTAAAGTAACGTTAAAGTTCGAAATTCAACAACAGGAGTAGGTTAAAATTATCCATCCTCACGCTCGCTCCAATTGGAGACCAGGCTACGAGCTACATCAATGAGCCATTGCCATTTATTAATTCAATACTGAATGTTAATTCATCTTTAATACGTTTCTGTACAATCTGACCGAAGTATATGGCAATCAGAATTTTTCCTAAGTCAAAACGAATTCTCTAACCTCAGGAAATAATCAAATAATAATTCAGTGTTAACTCAAAGGTTTGAGAGAAAGAGCCTCCCGGCCGCCTTTGTCTTCCCGCAGCGCGAGGGAGCGGACAGAAGCCAGGACCAAGCAATTATTGCAGCCACCTGCGCTCACGGGAAGGCTGGGAATCCATAGATAACACTCCCCCACCGCAGCTAGACGGATAACACACCACACGTGCAAGCAGAGAGAGGGGGGGGGGGAAATTCCTTGCTAACGAAGGCGTCTCGTTCTCTGCTGGTAGTGGTGGTGGTGCATTCTGGGAGTTCGGGGACTCTCTTCACTTTGCTCTATTGCATCGCAGGAATTCGTTTTTTTGCCGTCACCTTATCTCACCCGCACATGTTGACTGATAAAATGAGCAGCATCTGTCTCCCTGTGCTTGGGCAACTGCGCTGAAGCGTGGACTGCCCATCGCGGCGGATCGTAGCCACCGTTTGTGTAAGAGTTGTTGCTGCCTGGCCACGTTGCGCGCCACGTGGCGTGTCTACACGTGTCAACACGCCACGAGCGCTGTTATATCATTCACAGGACACAGCATGGCTGCGTTTTGTGATTCATACAAGAGATACACGGATCATTTTTGTCACGAATCATTTTTTTTATGAATGCGTTTGTAGGCGTCATCAGCCGAGCGTTGAAGTTGTTGAAGTTGTCAAACACGTCGCAATATTTGCTCATCGGCGTACACGGTGTTACCTGACGTGCTTCAAGGTACATGGTGCGTGCCACGCAGTGGCGAGGGTGGTGGTGGTGATGGTGTGCAATGGAAGTGCACCGGGTTTATTTAATCGGGGAGCATTCAGTCGGGGGAGCTGCAGAATAAACTGGCAGTTTGCCGGTGAAATTTGACATTCCACCTTTGTCTGCAGTCAGCAAAAGGTTGTGAAATCCTGCACAGTTCGTGTGACGCGCATTCTGTTCTTGTTGGCTCTCGGGTGAGAGCCGGCGGGGCGGTTCTGGCCAGGGCCCTCTGTGGGCACTGCGCCTGCGTGTGGTACGCAGCCGGAGTACCCCGAGAATGGCCGAGTTATTAAACTAATGAATGGCCTAAGACGTCAGTCGTTGTGCTGTATAATGTTTCGACTAAATCATGAGCTAACTCATCTCCTCATGAGTATTTGTCCCAACACGAGGCACGACTGTGGTGCAGTGCATTTATTTTGTGTATTCAGTATACATTTAAAAAGTACACTTTTATTTGTAATTCACATCTGTCGTCTTTGTTTTTACCTCTCACCAGTGTCTCGGCGACTGGAGGATGCCTGTGAATGTCGGCACGGTGGTGTGCTCTTTTGTCTCTCCCATGGTGATTTTCACACCCGACCTTCATAGATGTTCACCGACAGCACTTTGTCCCCTCAGCCCAGGGGGGTGTCTCTGCGAGGGGTGGCGGTGGGGCCCCTCTTTGTGATTGTAAGCTCCCTGCTGTTCGCGCCTTGTTGAATGCAGCTTTCACGTTTGGCAGAATCTGCATGCGCTGGCTGCATGCCTGGAAACCGTCCCACTGAACAGTGGCCGCTGCGATTGCCGTGATTGCCTGCGTCACGGTATTTGATTGGGTAGAGCTCCCGCTGATTGACACGAGCTGCCGTCGGTCGGCACGAGCCACCGTTGTCCTTGTCAGCCTCCGTGAGCGACGCCAGGCAGCCGGGGTTGCTCGACGGCAGTGAATCTGTGAGCGGCGCCAGGCAGCCCTCTGCAGCAGCTGATGGACACGATTGTCAAGCTGTCCGTTGACTGACGGCCATTCAAGTCTTATGTTATTAAACGGTTTTTGGCAGGGTTATTTAGCCTGATTTTTCACGACAATAATAACAATACTTGGGCAAAACCTAGGCATGTAACGATGTATCGATTCATCAATTTATTAAAACAGATGTTTACACTCACGATACACGCTTGGCATCGTGTTGGTAGGGAATTATTATTGTTGTCTATATGCGATTTGTAGCCCCAGCAGGCACTAGAGGCGTTACATTAAGAATGCCATTAAAATAATCGATCTTTGAAACATGACAACAACAAATGGTGACGGTCGATTCGCGAATGAGTGGATCGCTAGATGCTGAATATTCACGGGAACAGCGCAGTGTATTCAGCAAGCCTCGCCGAGGCTCACAACTCCGTCAAGTTGCCCCTGCCTTGGGAATGTTTGGCCGAGGAGTATGTTGCGTGTTTGAAGGACAACAGGGTACCTCGAGAAACCCACTATGCGTACAAGGGGATACCACTCCGACGTGCTTGCAGACCACTTCATGGACAGATTTGCCGGACTGCCATCTCCTCGCGACCTCGGCCCAGCAGGCTCGGGGGTTTTCACAGAACTACGCCATCAGTACATTTGTAGATGACAATACAATGTGATAATAATATTCACGTTTTGATCTGTGAAAATATCTAAGCTTGTTAAGATAAAATTAATCTTGAAATGTATCAAGGGAGAGGTGACGATGACGACGACGATGCAGAGAGGCCCCATTGGTCACGGCCGTTCTTCATTTCACATTTAAAATAGCGCAAGGCCGCTTCTCTCTTCTCGAGCACGATAGCAGCAGCAGCGATGATGATGATGATGATGATACGTTGTTCATAGCTGTCAACCCACACGGTTCACCCCATATTCTTGTACAGGGAAATTGAGTTTTCAGGCCCATACGGCGTACAGCCGTTTCAATACGAGCAAAAAAACCCTATAATTTGTGTTTATTTGTTTGTGTTTCTCCCTTGTGATGGGACTTTGTAGGATAAACGTTGCTGTTTATAAGGGGCACGTGTTGACCAATAAGGTCTGAATAGGTCTGCAGTAAGGTTAGGGCACTGATAAGGGGTTAACAGGTTTAGAGTTGTTGACTAGCTCGATGCCAGTGTCGGGACTGCTTCTGGCCACGACGAGAGGGTTTCGGGAGAGAGTTCGTGTCGTTTTCGCTGTTGCTCCTCCATGCAAGGAGCGCAGACCACAATGGGTTTACTGGGTGACTCCATAGTTTGGGTCGCAAGGTCAGAGTCGCACCACTGTGGCTTGTGACTTTACTTTTCCATTCATCGATGAGTTGTGCGCGTCGGCCTGCTGATGTTCTGATGCGATCTATGCTGACACCGGTGTCTTAGAGCAATGTTGGAGCCGGGAGGTGCGATGTTTGGGTCTCGAATGAGCTGATCCGTTACCCCCCCCCCCCTCCCCCGCAGAGATGACGGGGGAGGAAGGGTGTGTGGCACGTTCACGGTGTGGGAGGAAGGGTGTGTGAGGGAGGGTGTGTGGCATGTCCACGGTGTGGCAGGAAGGGTGTGTGACACGTTCACGGTGTGGCAGGGAGGGTGTGGGGCACGTTCACGGTGTGGGTGGCCTCCGTGTCGCCGCCCGGGCACTTCTCGCCACCCACACTCAGACACGGCCCACGCAGCCTTGGCCCTTTCCCAGGAAAATCAATCGGTTTAAGGAAACCACTTTCACCAATCATTCCTAAATTTTTTACAACCTCATGGAGGGCCAAAGATGTCGCAGATTATATGTATTTTTCTTTTAAGAGAGTGTGATTGACGAGTGTGAGTTTTTTTTATTGTACCTCCCCTTGAGAAGCATTATAATTATAAATAATTGCATCAATATCGTTTTGTAAGTTAAAAAAATGCTTACGACAGCTCTGATACGAGCCGTGTTCGATCGCCACCCACGAACACGTCCCGTCCAGAGATCCGCCGGGCTGCGTGACACGGTGCGGCATTGCCTCCGTCTGCGTGTCCAGATGGGCGAGGAGCTGAGTGAGAAGCTGGGTGAGGAGCTGAGTGAGGAGCTGGGTGAGGAGCTGGGTGAGGAGCTGAGTGAGGAGATGGGCGAGGAGCTGAGCGAGCAGCAGCAGCAGGAGGGGGAAGGCTGTTCAGGGGTGGCAGGGCCTGGGCAGAGCACGGAGGAGCCGGCGGCAGCGCTACCGGCCGCTGTGAGAGCCCAGATCGAGCGCAACCGTCAGCGAGCACTGCTCCTCCGCCAAGCACGCGCCGCCAGCCAGCCCTACCCCTCGGCCAGCGCTCGCTCACAGTACGTGTCACTCGCACGGCACGTGTCACTCACACGGAACGTGTCACTCACATGGCACGTGTCACACGGCACGTGTCACATGGCACGTGTCACTCACGGCACGTGTCACTCGGCACGTGTCACAAGGCACGTGTCACACGGCACGTGTCACTCACACAGCACGTGTCACACGGCACGTGTCACTCGGCACGTGTCACACGGCACGTGTCACTCACACGGCACGTGTCACTCGCATGGCACGTGTCACACGGCACGTGTCGCACGGCACGTGTCACTCACACAGCACGTGTCATTCGGCACGTGTCACACGGCACGTGTCACTCGCACGGCACGTGTCACGGCACGTGTCACTCGCACGGCACGTGTCACACGGCACGTGTCACTCACATGGCACGTGTCACTCACACGGCACGTGTCACTCGGCACGTGTCACACGGCACGTGTCACTCACACGGCACGTGTCACTCGGCACGTGTCACACGGCACGTGTCACTCACATGGCACGTGTCACTCGCACGGCACGTGTCACACGGCACGTGTCACTCGCACGGCACATGCCGCTCAGCCTGTCTCGCACAGTAGATCTTACAATTCAACAAACAAAAGTGCTGTGAGCGAGGGGGTGGGTGGCCAACACCACGCCCGGCCACCTTTGTCTCCCCTTTGCTGATGTTTACACATCGCATCAGCTACTCATTTGAGGCTGAGTCGACCTAGGGGAGGCCCAGAACCAGTTGAGATATTTGCCGTCATCGTTATTGGTTGCGAAGTGGGAATCGAACTTGGCTCGCGCGCACATGGCGCGTGTGAGCGTGGCGCGTGTGAACGTGTGAGCGTGGCGCGTGTGAGCGTGGCGCGTGTGAGCGTGTGAGCGTGGCGCGTGTGAGCGTGTGAGCGTGGCGCGTGTGAGCGTGGCGCGTGTGAGCGTGTGAGCGTGGTGCGTGTGAGCGTGGCGCGTGTGAGCGTGTGAGCGTGGCGCGTGTGAGCGTGGCGCGTGTGAGCGTGGCGCGTGTGAGCGTGGTGCGTGTGAGCGTGGCGTGTGAGCGTGGTGCGTGTGAGCGTGGTGCGTGTGAGCGTGGCGTGTGAGCGTGGCGCGTGTGAGCGTGGTGCGTGTGAGCGTGTGAGCGTGGCGCGTGTGAGCGTGGCGCGTGTGAGCGTGTGAGTGTGTGAGCGTGGCGCGTGTGAGCGTGGCGTGTGAGCGTGTGAGCGTGGCGCGTGTGAGCGTGGCGCGTGTGAGCGTGAGTGTGTGAGCGTGTGAGCGTGGCGCGTGTGAGCGTGGCGTGTGAGCGTGTGAGCGTGGCGCGTGTGAGCGTGGCGCGTGTGAGCGTGAGTGTGTGAGCGTGTGAGCGTGGCGCGTGTGAACGTGTGAGTGTGTGAGCGTGTGAGCGTGGCGCGTGTGAGCGTGGCGCGTGTGAGCGTGTGAACGTGGCGCGTGTGAGCGTGGTGCGTGTGAGCGTGGTGCGTGTGAGCGTGGTGCGTGTGAGCGTGGTGCGTGTGAGCGTGGTGCGTGTGAGCGTGGCGTGTGAGCGTGGCGCGTGTGAGCGTGTGAGCGTGGCGCGTGTGAGCGTGTGAGCGTGTGAGCGTGGCGCGTGTGAGCGTGGCGCGTGTGAGCGTGGCGCGTGTGAGCGTGGTGCGTGTGAGCGTGGCGTGTGAGCGTGGCGTGTGAGCGTGGCGTGTGAGCGTGGCGTGTGAGCGTGGCGCGTGTGAGCGTGTGAGCGTGTGAGCGTGTGAGCGTGGTGCGTGTGAGCGTGGCGCGTGTGAGCGTGGCGCCTGTGAGCGTGGCGCGTGTGAGCGTGTGAGCGTGGCGCCTGTGAGCGTGGCGCCTGTGAGCGTGGCGCGTGTGAGCGTGTGAGCGTGGCGCCTGTGAGCGTGGCGCGTGTGAGCGTGGCGCGTGTGAGCGTGGCGCGTGTGAATCTGGCGCGTGTGAACGTAGTGCACGCGTCCCTGCAGGGCGGGCGCTGCGAGGCTGCGGGTGCCCGGCCGGGCGGTCGACACCGGCGGTGGTTTCCTGCTGGAGGAGGCGGACGATGAGGAGGAGGCGGCGGCTCGCCGGGTGGTGCACACACCAGGTAGCGCCCGCGCACGCACACACACACACATGCCCGTACGTACAGTGAGGGAAAAAAAGTATTTGATCCCCTGCTGATTTTGTGCGTTTGCCCACTGACAAAGAAATGATCAGTCTTTAATTTTAATGGTAGGTTTATTTGAACAGTGAGAGACAGAATAACAACAAAAAAATCCAGAAAAACGCATGTCAAAAATGTTATAAATTTATTTTCATTTTAATGAGGGAAATAAGTATTTGACCCCTCTGCAAAACATGACTTAGTACTTGGTGGCAAAACCCTTGTTGGCAATCACAGAGGTCAGACGTTTCTTGTAGTTGGCCACCAGGTTTGCACACATCTCAGGAGGGATTTTGTCCCACTCCTCTTTGCAGATCTTCTCCAAGTCATTAAGGTTTCGAGGCTGACGTTTGGCAACTCGAACCTTCAGCTCCCTCCACAGATTTTCTATGGAATTAAGGTCTGGAGACTGGCTAGGCCACTCCAGGACCTTAATGTGCTTCTTCTTGAGCCACTCCTTTGTTGCCTTAGCCGTGTGTTTTGGGTCATTGTCATGCTGGAATACCCATCCACGACCCATTTTCAATGCCCTGGCTGAGGGAAGGAGGTTCTCACCCAAGATTTGACGGTACATGGCCCCGTCCATCATCCCTTTGATGCGGTGAAGCTGTCCTGTCCCCTTAGCAGAAAAACACCCCCAAAGCATAATGTTTCCACCTCCATGTTTGACGGTGGGGATGGTGTTCTTGGGGTCATAGGCAGCATTCCTCCTCCTCCAAACACGGCGAGTTGAGTTGATGCCAGAGAGCTCCATTTTGGTCTCATCTGACCACAACACTTTCACCCAGTTGTCCTCTGAATCATTCAGATGTTCATTGGCAAACTTCAGACGGGCATGTACATGTGCTTTCTTGAGCAGGGGGACCTTGTGGGTGCTGCAGGATTTCAGTCCTTCACGCGTGCTTCACTCTCGCTTCACTCTCACGTGCTTAACTCTCGCTTCACTCTCGCTTCACTCTCACGTGCTTCACTCTCGCTTCACTCTCACGTGCTTCACTCTTGCTTTACTCTCGCTTCACTCTCGCTCCAGCTTCTTGGTGTTGGCGACGCGGGGTCGAGGCTATTAGCACCCACGTCGCAGGCGCGACGCGGGCGACTTCACAGCCGTGTGGAGACGACGTTTGTCACGTGGCGATGCAACAGGCAAATATTCCTCAGCCGAATTCAGAAAAATTAAGTAAAAAACCACGTTTATTACGCGAGGGTTGTTGTGCAGTCGCCGGTGACTCACTACTGCTCTTACAGAGCCTCGTTTCATTCGTTACATTCGGTTACACCGCAAAGCCTCAACGGAGCCTCCACACTCTTTGCGGGAGGCTCCTGGCAAGTTTGCTCGGCAGGGGCGAGAAGCGTGGGCCGCGAGTGAGCGGTGCCGCTGGGTGCTCTTTGCGCCGCAGCGCCCGTGATGAAGGCGGACTACCTGCAGTGCGGGGAGTGCGGGCGCCGCTTCATGGACTCCTACCTGAGCGCCACGTTTGACTTGGCCGTGTGCGACGCGTGCAGGTGAGCAAACTCCCCCATGCCCCTCCATGATTGCTGAGCGAGGTGCCGCACGCACACATGCGCGCACACACACACACACACATGCGCGCACACACACACACACACGCGCGCGCACACACGCACACACATGCACTCCACGCACACACACGCACGCACACGCACACACGCACGCACACACACGCGCACACACATGCACTCCACTCGCTCACGCGCACACACACGCACGCACACACATTCACTCCACACACACGCACACCCATGCACTCCACACGCACACACGGGAAGCCGCACGTCTCTGTGGTGCATGCGGTGGTTGGTGGTGGTGCTTGTGCATCGTCCTGTGTCGTGGAGGCCCTGTAAGCTTGTGTCTCGTCATTATTATTATTACTACTACTGCTACGCCTGTGTCGTCCATCCAGTAAAGTCTCATTGCTTTATTAAGGCTAGAGGGGCCTGCACTGGGATGTTTAGCCACCTCATCTGTAATTAGTTTGCTCAGTTGTAGTAGTAACATACAGAGTAAAACCTTGGATTGCGAGTAACTTGGTCTGCGAGTGTTTTGCAAGACGAGCAAACTGTAAATAAATATTAATTTGATAAACGAGCGAGAGGTCTTGCAATACGAGTAGTAGTACGTATACGCTTTGTCTGCTGAGCGTCACGTGAGCACAACTGATATACGAGTGCTTTGATATACAAGTGCTTTGGATTACAAACACATTTTTGGAACGAATTATGCTCGCAATCCAAGGTTTTACACTGTACAAGGTTTTACTGTCTGTATGTGTGTGACACAGACAGACAGGTTTTACTGTCTGTATGTGTGTGACACACATACAGACAGGTTTTACTGTCTGTATGTGTGTGACACACATACAGACAGGTTTTACTGTCTGTGTGTGTGTGACACATACAGACAGGTTTTACTGTCTGTGTGTGACACACATACAGACAGGTTTTACTGTCTGTATGTGTGTGTCACACACATACAGACAGGTTTTACTATCTGTATGTGTGTGACACATACAGACAGATTTTACTGTCTGTATGTGTGTGTCACACACATACAGACAGGTTTTACTATCTGTATGTGTGTGACACATACAGACAGATTTTACTGTCTGTATGTGTGTGTCACACACATACAGACAGGTTTTACTATCTGTATGTGTGTGACACATACAGACAGATTTTACTGTCTGTATGTGTGTGTCACACACATACAGACAGGTTTTACTATCTGTATGTGTGTGACACATACAGACAGATTTTACTGTCTGTACGTGTGTGACAGGTCCAAGGTTCTGAACCCACTTGCCGTACTGCCGTCTCGCAGATGCTTTGCGGGGTAACGGGTTTTTGAGTTTCACAAGCGATGACCATCTGTGTGTGATCAGCCAACCTGGGTTACAGGCGTGCGCTTGCACACAGGCCCCGATGTCGGAATCTCTCTTGCTGGCTGAATACCCATGAACACCCAGTAACCGCTACGCTCATTGAGTGCCTTAGGTTTACGTATTTTGCTTTCAGCAGCTGGTAGTGTTTGACGAGGCATGCTGTAGACATGTAGCACTTCATCCGTCTAAAAGTTATGCATTGAATTGTACGCGTGAGATATATTAAAATGTATTCGAACGTTACCTTTCGGCAAATGGAATAAATACCCATGGAGGGAATTTGAAATTAAATCGCGTTTAAACGCCACCACATCGCAAGATGTCGACACGGAACAGAAGAACACGAGCGGGGGGAGAGCCGCCACAAAGGGAACCGAGAATCCTCGATTCTTGAACTTCTTTTCTCCGCACCGTCCGTAGCCAACGGCCCTCGTTGAATCGCGACCACGACTCGCGGCAGTTGATACGGAGCGGTGGGTGGGGGTGAATGGTGCCCACACACACGCTGCGCCGCTGTGCCGCTGTGCCGCTGCTGCCGTTCTGCTGATGTGCTGCCGCTGCTGCTACGCCGCTGCCGTGCGCGCCGCCTCCGCTATCGCAGGGACAACGAGGGCAAGCACCAGCTGGTGTCGCGCACGGAGGCCAAGACGGAGTTCCTGCTCAAGGACTGCGACCTGGACGGGCGGGAGCCGGCGCTGCGCTTCGTCCTGCGCAAGAACCCGCACAACCCGCGCTGGGGAGACATGAAGCTGTACCTGCGCCTGCAGGTGAGCGAGCGAGCGAGCGAGTGGCGAATGGTGAGTGGTGAGTGAGAGGCCGCTGCGTGCGCGTGGATGTAGGAGCTCGTGAGGGTTCTTCTGTCTCAGCGCCAAGCCACAACACCAACAGATTTACATTACAAAGTGCTGCAGTGAGCAGAGCACAACCTCGTGCCAAAAAAGGGCCCCAGGATGTGACATCACAGAAGGACTTCCCAAGTCCCTCCAATCGCATCCTAGTTGCACTCAGGGCACACCCTACAAGGAGTGTTTGTTGCATGTCAAAATCATACCAAACACATCTTACACCTCGAATGAGCCACATTTAGTACAAAAAACTAAGAAATTAAATTAGATATAGTTTGTGCATGGTGCACACTCTGTGTAGTTAGTGGCAGTTTGAGTTGTCACGTGTAGCCAGGGTACAGTGCTTCACCTGGGGCAGAGAACTTCCCCTGGGGTAGAGAACTTCACCTGGGGTAGAGAACTTCACCTGGGGCAGAGAACTTCACCTGGGGCACAGAACTTCACCTGGGGTAGAGAACTTCCCCTGGGGTAGAGAACTTCACCTGGGGTAGAGAACTTCACCTGGGGTAGAGAACTTCCCCTGTTGTAGAGAACTTCACCTGGGGTAGAGAACTTCACCTGGGGTAGAGAACTTCACCTGGGGTAGAGAACTTCCCCTGGGGTAGAGAACTTCCCCTGGGGTAGAGAACTTCACCTGGGGTAGAGAACTTCTCCTGGGGTAGAGAACTTCACCTGGGGTAGAGAACTTCACCTGGGGTAGAGAACTTCCCCTGGGGTAGAGAACTTCCCCTGGGGTAGAGAACTTCCCCTGGGGTAGAGAACTTCCCCTGGGGTAGAGAACTTCACCTGGGGTACAGAACTTCCCCTGGGGTAGAGAACTTCCCCTGGGGTAGAGAACTTCACCTGGGGTACAGAACTTCACCTGGGGTAGAGAACTTCCCCTGGGGTAGAGAACTTCCCCTGGGGTAGAGAACTTCACCTGGGGTACAGAACTTCACCTGGGGCACAGAACTTCCCCTGGGGTAGAGAACTTCACCTGGGGTAGAGAACTTCACCTGGGGTAGAGAACTTCACCTGGGGTAGAGAACTTCCCCTGGGGTAGAGAACTTCCCCTGGGGTAGAGAACTTCCCCTGGGGTAGAGAACTTCACCTGGGGTAGAGAACTTCACCTGGGGTAGAGAACTTCACCTGGGGTAGAGAACTTCCCCTGGGGTAGAGAACTTCACCTGGGGCACAGAACTTCACCTGGGGCACAGAACTTCACCTGGGGTAGAGAACTTCCCCTGGGGTAGAGAACTTCACCTGGGGTAGAGAACTTCACCTGGGGTAGAGAACTTCCCCTGGGGTAGAGAACTTCACCTGGGGTAGAGAACTTCACCTGGGGTAGAGAACTTCACCTGGGGTAGAGAACTTCACCTGGGGTAGAGAACTTCACCTGGGGTAGAGAACTTCACCTGGGGTAGAGAACTTCACCTGGGGTGGGGGGGATGCCCCGGGGTCACGTGAGGGCGTTCTCTCCGTGTGGACACGCCGAGGGATGTTGTTAAATCCACACGAACTTATCAGTCTGAGCAAATACGCGTTAGATTTAAACACAGATAGCAGAAGGAATTTCACGAACACACAGCCGCCTCTGCTCCATGAAATGTCACTGTACGTATGAAATAAGTCGAGGGCGAATGTTTGTTTACTGCGGTGCCCAGGCTTAGCCTAGCTGTCGAATGGCTGTGACTCCCACACTGCCAGCCGTGAGCCACCCGGGTTCGCTCCACCCACGCCATCTCCCGATGTCCGAGTGTCCGAGTGTCTGAGCCTGCTGCGTGGCTTCCTCGACGAGGCCGATGCGATCCGAGGCGCGAGACGCTGCTGGCTACAGGGGGACGCGCCCCAAAGCACAAAACTACTCACGGGTTATTCAGGACCGATGTTTGGGTTTGGGTCACGGAATGATCGGGACAAAATGTGTGTCGTATGACCCTCGACCACCCAACATAGCCAAACAAATAAAGTGTCGCGTGTGCAAGCGTTTAATGTTACCTAACGTGACAAATTAATTTGTTTGGCTAATGGTGGAGGGTTTTAAAACACAGAGTTTGTCAGATTATTGTTACGTGGTCCAACCAAAAAAATCAAACCACAACATTGGCAGCCAAAGCCATCTACGTGGTGTTCACGCTTTGCGGCGTCGTGATTCTACCCCGTTCCGGGATGCCCAACGCACATTTGAGGTCTTCGTTACTCGCATCAATCGGCACCTAAAGTTACCCTCAAGAGGTCCCTCGCTGGCTAATGAGCGCCGGCGTCTCGTGTCGGCCGTGCGGGCGGTGGTGCTGCTGCCAGGTGGAGGGGCGCTCGCTGGACGTGTGGGGCGGCGAGGAGGCCCTGCAGGAGGCCCGCGAGCAGCGGCACCACGGCCGCGACCGGCGGCAGCAGAAGCGCTTCAATAACAAGGTCAAGGGTGAGCGAGCGCTGCCGTGGGCCGGCGTCGTCGTCGTTACCGGGAGCAGATGTTTATGGGAGACCGATTACCGCACGCTCCTGCGTGGTCCGCAGGGAGGGGACTTTGAGCTTCGCAGGTGATTGAAGCATGGCTGTTTGTGCGACTTGCATTTCGTTATTTAATATTTACGTGACAGCCCGTCTCAACGTCCGACACATTGCATATTGACAGCGGTTGTTTGTTCTATTATGCAGACGCGCGAGTCCCCGCGAGTTGGATGGGAGAGGTAGCACAGAGGCAATCGGTGGACACTTGGCCAACGGCAGTCCTCTGCGATGCCTTGCGAGTGTTACCGTCGCCCTGCTGCTGAGTTCAGTGCGCGCTGGCTTGAGGGCGAACGCTGCAACGTCGTGCGCGGTTTCTGAACTTCGTTTTCTGCGCTCAAATCGGCGCCGCCTTTGAGCCCCCACTGCTGGAATGTGTCCCATGGTGGGCACGGCGGGCACGGCGGTGCACGGCGGTGCACGGCGGGCACGGTGGGCACGGCGGGCACGGCGGGCACTGCGGGCGTTCACTCGCTTTATGTGTCACAGGAGTCGTCGCGGTGACTGCTCACCTGCAGCGGGCGAAGGCCTCGTAGTGCAGGTTCTTACGTCATACTCTCACTAGTCAACTTGAATGAAGGAAATTCATAACGGCTCGTGAATTGATGCGCCGATAGTAATTTTCAGGATGAAACGAAGACGATGAATCAAAGTGCCGTTTGTGCCGATGCCTCGTCGTGCAAAACGACCCGGCCGTGTTCCATCGCGGGATTCGTGTTTGTGCACGACCTGCACCCCGCTGCCTCGACCTGAGGCAGCGACCCAGCTCGTGAAGACCACACCCTGCTCGCTAACCTCCCGCCCACGTCTCTCGGTCTAGAGCTGCGCATGGCGGTGAGGAGCAGCCTGTACCGGAAGGCCAGCGCGGGCCACGTGCACGAGTACGGCCCCGAGCAGCGCGACGACGCGGACGCGGACGCGTACCACAGGACTTGCGTGCAGTGCGGCCACCGCCTCGCCTACGAGAAGATGTGAGAGCGGCGCCGGGGCCGGCGTCCCGGTGCTCGTGAGTCGGGGGAGCGGCCCCAGAGCCGAGTCGGATCAGGGACCGAGACCGGGGGGAAGCGGCGGAGGAGCCGCCGGGGAGGAGACACGAGGAGCGGTTTTCCAGTCTAATAATAAAGTGAAGCAAAAGGAGCTTGGCTCTGTGGAGCTGGGAACTCGTGCGGAGCAAGGGGGATGTTTTATACACGAGTCGTGCGCTTTGCCACGCAAGGGTGAGCTACACGCAACATTTCTATGTTCCGTATACTTTGGACAAGGAGACGAAACTGCTAGCTTTTTCCAATGAACAGCCTTTTAATGCCAAACACTACCTGCCCGAGGATGTACAGAGCATGTATTTTTGATGCAAGTTGTGATTGTGGTCTGATAAACACCACCCCAGTGGAGTAGTTTTTATCGGGGGCCCTCCAAGCTGCCCCGCGTTGCTCCGTCGCGAGCGCCCAGCGGCGTCTCCACGTGCGCACGCGTTGGGTCTCCACGGGCCCTCACGGGAGCCATGTAACTAACAACACAGCGGCACGCGGACCGCACCAGACAACGCCCGGAGGGGCCGCCAGGCAACTTGGCCCACAGCGAGGGTGAGGCAAACACCCACCACTCACTCACCCACTCGCTCACCCACCACTCGCACATTCACCCACTCGCTCACCCACCACTCGCACATTCACCCACTCGCTCACCCACCACTCGCATATTCACCCACTCGCTCACCCACCACTTGCTCACCCACCACTCGCTCACCCACCACTCGCTCACCCACCACTCGCTCACCCACCACTCGCTCACCCACCACTCGCTCACCCACCACTCGCTCACCCACCATTCACTCGCACATTGACCCACTCGCACATTCACCATTCACTCGCACATTCACCCACTCGCTCACCCACCATTCACTCGCACATTCACCCACTCGCTCACCCACCATTCACTCACTCGCTCGCCCACCATTCACTCGTACACTTGGGAGACATTGTTGTTGACCCGGCCGTGTGAATGGGCCGTGCTCGTGAATGAATGCTGCCTGGTCCCGTTTGGCTGCTCGCCCTGTGGAATAGCCAACCCGAGTGTAGAAGAAGAATAGGGTGTAAGTAGAGGGTGTGTGCGGCATGCACTGAACCTGGAGATCGCGCGTACAAGAAACACTCCCTCACAAGGAAGTGGTGACCAACATCCCACTCGGTGTACGGCCCTCCGGGAGAGAAAAAAAAGTTTCTCTCGGAGAATAGAAAATAATCTGTCCCCCTCCCTTTGGTGAGAGCCTCTTGGGTGGGAGACGCCGTGACAACCTCGCCCGTCAGCCACTCTGCACCGTGACAACCTTGCCCGTCAGCCACTCTGCACCGCTCGCCACCGTGACAACCTCGCCCGTCAGCCACTCTGCACCGTGATAACCTCGCCCGTCAGCCACTCTGCACTGTGACAACCTCGCCCGTCAGCCACTCTGCACCGTGACAACCTCGCCCGTCAGCCACTCTGCACCGCCCGTCAGCCACTCTGCACCGCTCGCCACCGGGCTGAGACGCCGTCTCTCTGGTGGCAAACTTCCAGCGGGGTGCCGCTGCTTTCCCCGCCTCCTCTCTCACACAGCGCCCATCGCACTGCAGCTGGACATGCCGGACGTCGACGCCTGTTAAAACGTCCTCGAATTCGACTCAATGGGCCCACAACGTCGGCTGGGATGGACGCGACACCAGGACTCGCGTGGGAGATGATTGCAGCAGCGCGAGGCGGTTATCGACGATTATGTAACCGTGGATAGGAACTGGGTTGAAAATGGACATCGTGTTTACATATCTATGATGAATTCAGGCAGAGCAGAGTGAGGACTTCCTTATCTGGTAGAATGAAAAATTGTTTAGTTTTACAGTTTAGATAATGGGTGGTTTACTCAGCAGTCGACAGACGGACAGGAATGCGCAAGACCGGCAGGCGAGGTGGTGGTGTGGCGTGCCCTTGGTTGTAACAGGTCGGTTCGGAGCGGGTGTCCGCGTGTGAAAGCGGCGAATGCGTTGTTGCTAAGCTGCGGCCCCCCAAGGTGGAGTGGTTTCGTGCGGAGCGCCATCGGAGCGCTGCTGGCGGAGGCCCTCGGCACTCGCGAGCCGAGGACGCCGCTGCGAGTACACGCTGCTGCACGCGGACACAACAACACGCACGCATACCCCGTGCTGTATCGCACCACACTACACTGGACTGGCATTAGAACACGAGGTTTTGCTGGCTGACTGGAGGGGAGGGATGGCCACGTCCATCGGCTTTCTGTAAATATCAAATAAGCTAGAACTGGCCTTGCTGTCGGGCCCCTGCTCACCAAACCACACCTGAACCATCTCACTGAAGGCCACTTGGGAGCCTTGCAACCTCCACTTCATACAAACTCGCCACCTATATCTCACCTATACCACGTGTGGATGTTGTGTCGGCCAAGAGGGCGTTTAATCGATTCACTTGATGTTTGTGTCAGATCGCGAAAGTCAAATGTTTAGGAAACCCTCCACCTCACAACCAATTAATAAAGTTATCACGTGCACAAACATGTCGGGTTATTACTGCTTCAGCAGCACCACCGGTAGTGTTGTTGGAGCGCTATCGACACCACACTAAACCATTGGGTACAGATCTCTCGCTGGTACTGAGCCAGCATCATCAGGCAGTGGTCAGAAATATAAAAATGTCCCCTCGTCTTGCGCCTTGAATGTTAGTGCATTGTTGAATGTTGCAGTGCATTGTTGAATGTTGCAGTGTGTTGTTATACGTGTCGTGCTAAATGTTAATCTGAGATACTGGTGGATATGGTCATGATTAAATCACTTATATTAAGAAGGGACTGTGTGAGGTTTTATTGATCCATACATTCTGCAACTCAGGGTCCTGCTGTGGAGATCTGTTAACTTTGGGATGTGAGGGTGGTCTTAGCATTGATACAAATAACATCCAGCCTAAACACGAGTAACTGATGTTATCATTGATACAAATAACATCCAACCTAAACACGAGTAACTGATGTTATTTAATTCGACCGAGCGAAACAATCCAGACCAACCATAAACAAGTGGCAATTATGTCTGCAGTGATGGTGCGAATTGAGAGCTGACATCTTGAGCAGCAGAAGAGGCATTGAGAGATCAGACCAAGCACTGTCATTGCAACATTGAAATGGAGAAGGCAGATCAGAAGAAAATGTCAGAGGTTTTATTGCCAAAAAACCAGACAATGAAATAAAGGCAATGCTGCTTACAAAACGTGCAGCAGAGCCAAAGGCGACGACACAAACTCGGTCCAAGCTACATTGCCTCTCCCGACTGTTGGGGACACGCATTCAATCAATGAAATGAAAAACATTAACTTAGAACGGTCTTTTCACTTTGACATTCAATTAATGTAATTCCTCGTGATAATACACCATGTTTTCCACAGCATAAAAACCCAGATGAAGTAATAATCTGCAAACTCGTCACCCTGCTCATAACATCTGCCTCTGTGGCAAGATCCCAGACCGTCCCGGTTGGGTCTACGGGGCTCACATTCACGTCCATGCCAACAAAACCAGACTAACAATATCCACGAAGGGACAATGAGCTAACTGGGTGGTGGCGGCAGCGACGACACCGATAGCACAGCAACAAAAAGGGCCTTCTAATTTTTCCTAAACCTCGAATCTAATGTCCAGCAACTTGTTGCACGTTTAGCGCGAGTGAACACGCGGAGACGCCACTGCCGACGGTTTGGGGTAAAAAGCGCGGCGCGGCTTCCTCGCCGAGTGGCGGTGGCGAGGCCGGCACGAGGATTCTCTCGTCGGCGTTCCTCCTGTTCCCGCGGGCGGCGACGGCGGGACGGAACGTCACGCCGTGAGGGCGCAGAACTGCTGGAAAATGGCCAGGATGTGCGGGTCCAGCTCGCTCGTGAACAGCAGGTTCTCCAGGGTCCCCATATACAGCTGGATCGTGTGCTGGTGCTGCGGAGAGGTGAACGCGTACAAGAGGAGCGCTAATCCCTCGTGAACAACACCCGCTGGGCCGGGCCACCACTTGCAGGGGCGCTCTAACAAAGTGTGAACACGCCGGGAGGGCGATTGCTGTCGCTCGGCAGCGGCGACCGACAGCAATCGCGTCGCGACAGCAAGCGTTAAAGTCGCGCGCGTTCAAGTCGCGCGCGTTCAAGTCGCGTGCGCGCGCTGAGCCAGCAGTGCCGGGAGCCCAGGTTGAAATCCGGGTCAGCCGTCCGAGACGAACCTGGGTCCTTATGCGCAGCGTCTGATGGTCTCACGTTAGTGACCGATGACTGCACACAGCTGTAAATCACTGCTTATTGTACTAAACCTGACCTCAACCAGAATAGTAGATAATAATAATAGGGTTTTCCCCCTTTTTTCTGGCAACAAAACTGAAACCTTTTTACGAAGATTCATGTCTGCATTAACCACAATACCTGCAGTCAAAATGCAAACAAAAAACATACTATGATAATATATGCATTGTCCTTGAAACTGATTGGTCCACACCAAGGGACGGCTTTCTTTTGAGCCTCAACCCAATTGCATTTTGACTGCAGGTATTGTGGTTAATGCAGTAACATGAATCCTTGTACAAAGGTTTCAGTTTTATTGCCAGAAAAAAGGGGAAAAACCCTATTATTACATTTTGGTACTGGCAAAGGAGGTCTAATGATACAGAATAGTAGAGTGAACCGTTCTACTTGTCAACATAGCTGAAGAGGAGGTAATCCTGTGGGTTGTGACATTGGCCCGAGAAAGACCTCCAAGCAAACCCCACAATTCTGGGTCACTGTGCGATCCAAGATAAAAACGCGTCACTTTGCCTGAACACCGACGGTGCGATTAGTAGCCTGAGCATCGACACTCTTCTGGAGGTTCCTAGTTGAGTAAAGTAATCCCAAATTAGTAATTTCTAGGTTAGTTTTGAGCATTGCGATCTTTGGACAACATCTGCTACATTGTGTTTAACACCGAGGCTTTCGCGCCCAATATCATCCATAAGAGGTTTTTTTGGGTTAGATCGCGTAAATATTTACACGATCTAACCCAAAAAAAACCTCTCGTGTCTCACACTGTGTTATTTGTTTAGCTATGCTAGGAAACTGTAGAGAACAAACTCTACACAGAAAAGGCATCCGAATCGGGAACGGGACCCAGGTCATTCTTGCTTTGAGGCGCGAGCATCACCATCGGTCCACAAACCTGGAGGAAGATCTGCTGCAGACGCTCGATGCAGTTCTTGTACCAGGGCGTCCTGCGCTCCGTGCCGCTGGTCTCGCAGCGTACCAGGTGCTCCGTGAGGATCATGATGAACCGCTGGGTGCAGCAAAACAACGGCGGCGTCAACGGCGCAAGCGCAGACGCTGGCACAGAGTCGCCACGCGGGACACTCCGCCAAGGATCCCCAACCAGCGGCAGAGACCGGAGAGACGAACGCCGTCTCGTCTGTATACCGTCTCGTCTGTATTGTCTATTTTAAACATTCTTTACCCAGGCCAATGTTGCAAACTATACTATCGACGTCTCGAGTTCGCACCTGGTTAAACAATAAAATTTTTTGTATATCTTTACATATAATTTGTATACACTTTCACTCATCCTTGATTAAATGTTGAAGAGTGTGAGCATATGAAATGATTTTAATCGATGAATCTCGCTGACATGGTCTGGAGACTGTATTTGTCCAGTCGAGTGGCAGCATTGCGCTTATTCAACTTGTCGTGACGCACAAACTTTCAAGGATGCAGCAGCAGCTCGCGATGCTGCCAACGGCAGCCTTTAGTCTGCTCAAGGGTCGCAGGAATACGCACAGCACAGCAACGTTCACCATCAGTCGGAGCTCTCACCTCTAGACATAAAGACTCTAAATTGCAGTCTCTGAATTGGAGCTGTGCAGGTTCAGTGTACGGGTCACTGCACTGCCACTCACACAAGTTATCATCTTATATTTTACACCCTCAAACACTTTGCAGGAAAATACGTGTCACTGCGTCTTCATCCCTCAGCCCGTGAACTCGCTGCATCAATGGGAATTCCTGGGACTGACTGCTAATGTCAAAACCACACACCTCTGCTTTGGGTCAGTACTGAGGTGTTGGTTATTTAAAGACAACCCCCAACACGAATATTGTAGTTTAACACGTAGGCTTTCACGACCAATATCCATAATACAGTTTTTTTGGGTTAGATCACGTATATACATGTGTCATTAAACCCGCCACCACCCGACACAGCCAATTAGTAAGGGTTGTCCCGTAAACAGAAAATGCAAATTCGAATATTGTAACGTGCTTACCTGCCCCTACTAGATGTCTGTGAAAGAGTTCTATAACTCATCAGATTCCTCCAGTATATTCTGATTCTGAATATACAACATGAGTATACAATATGAATATACGATATAAATGTACAATATGAATGCACAACATAAATGTACGATATGAATATGCAATATGAATATGTAATATAAATATACAACATGCATATATAATATGCATATACAATATGATTGCACAGTATGAATGTACAATATGAATATACAATATGAAAATACAATATGAATATGTAATATGAATATACAATATGAAAATACAATATGAATATGCAATATGAATATGCAATATGAATACGCAATATGAATATACAATATGAATATACAATATGATGCTTTAGGTGAGAAAGATTAGCCGATGACAAACCTCCACTGGATCTCTGCAATGCAGCTGTGAGAATGGTCAAGTATCACTGCGTGCATTTAACAACACATTGAGGTGTGCAGCATTGCATGAACAAAATTACTCGGCCTAATGCAGAACCGTCGACTGAGAACACGTGGCCACCCCAACCGGCAGCAGTGAAACAAAACGGTTTCACCCTCATTGGGACTCATCGGTGTAATTGTTCATCAATTTTCGCCGCTGCCATACGGCTCTGGGAGCCCCCAGGCCCGACACGTCCACTCCGTGTCCCAGAAGCCTCTGTGGTAGGCACCGCCACAAACCCCGAGATCCCAGCTCTTGATAAGAAGCTTGCTCGAAAGGTATCAATGTCGATAAAAAAATGTAAAATGGACTCGGAGGCGCCGGAGAGGCAAAGTGTAACGAGCACGGCGGAGACGTTCGCAGATGCCCTCTCTAAGGGATATGCACGGAACAGCTGCTCACAAGGATGGCGAGAGAGCAAAGACCCGTGACGTTCCAACTGAGAACGTTAAATGTGCGAATTGAGAGCTGGCAGCCGGGAATTAGCTTTTCCAAATAAGGCATCACACACTGTGACACGCACAGCGGACGTGCACCGCCTTGGGATTTGCAGGCAGCCGTGAGCTTCGCCATCCAGCAAAAGTGCTCGGGGGATAACAGTACAGTACGTGAGTTTGCCACCCGGGGAGCAGGCACGGGGTAATTTGAGCCACACGTGAGCCAGCGCAGGAGAATCTGGTGATTAACAGGAAAATACTGATTTGCGTGAGCGCCCGGGGAAAGATTACAGTCGTCAAGCCCAGAGAAACGAGTCGGGTAAATGGCACTGGAACTCTGTCTGAACCAGAAACTCGATGAGAATTTTCTCAAATGAGAAACGATGAGGCATCGGCACTTCAATCTTCCGTTTAAAGCCCTGCAAGAGCCCAGTGGTGGAAATTCCACGTTCCTATGGTGGTCAGTGCGGATCAGTGAAGTAGGGGGAGGAGTGGGCAGCACCGGTTTCAGGTGTGACTGGCCTTGGAGTGCTCCAGGGTCCCATGCTCTCTGCCGCACTCTTTAACAGACTTCTGGAGTATGTTATGCAAGAGGCGCTATAGGATGACAGGCAGGAATTTCAACTGCAGGGCAGAGTCTAAAGTGACCTGTGTTTTACAGGTGACATTGATATTTTACCAACGAATAGGATTCGCTACAACAGCATCAAAGGTTAAATATGCCACGGAAAGGTATGGACACGAGAGATCAATACCAAGAAGACACGGGTCAAGTTAACAGAAAGGGTAACAAAGAATTCAATCCTTGTAGATGGAAAGCCACTAAGAGCCAGCTCAAATATCTTGGCCGCATCGAAGCTTAAGATGTTTGGCGTAAAAAGGACATAAAAAACAAGACTCGGCAACTGCCGCCCCTTTGTGAAACAGGAGCACAAGTGGACATGTCGAGAATTCTCAAGAACACCACAGGAGACACCTCTGAGCAGCTTCTGGGTGTATTCAGTAGCGATGTGTTAGCGTGACGCTTGGACTCTAAAGAATAAGAAAGGGAAACACTGCAATTCACAGGAAATCCTTGTGCAGCAAGGAACAATTAAGTCCTGGAAATAAGAGACACAAATAGCCGAGGCTGCCAAGTAACGTCAGTGCAGGAAGCTGCAATATTTTGGACTGGGATAAACGGCGACCCCGGTTGTGAGGGACGGTGGTGGAGAGAACAGTCGGAGGCGCGAGGGAAAGAGGAAGACCGCAATGAGACCAGGCGTCGAATGTTAAATGCGAGGCGGGATGGAGGCTGCCTCGCTTGAAAGACATGGCGACGGACAGAGACAAGTGGAGAGGGCACGGCGAGAAGATATCGGTGAAGGAAACGGTCGTGCCCCGGTGGCCCAGCAAGGCCACGGAACTAGCAGAAGGCGGAGCGCCATGCCACGGAGCGCCGTGCCACGGAGCGCCGTGCCACGGAGCTTCGTGCCACGGAGAACTGTGCCACGGCTCCACCCTGACCTGCACCACTCGAATAGGGCACATGCCAGAGCGCAAGGCTTACACGCCCACAAAGCACGACGTAACACAGCTCGCCCAACAACAAAAACCGTAACATAATACACACCCCGGAAACCACAGCACCCCAAGTCCTACACACGCAGCCTAACACACCAATCCCAACGGACACTCAACCCAATGGGGGACGACCCCTGCACCCCCTGCACCCTCTGCCCGTCTTCACAAACACCGCACGGCCCTCGGGGCTTCCTCAAATTATTTCCCTGGCTGTGCTAAGGATCGCTCGTTCCTCCTCCGAGTTCATAAACCCGACAGCCGGCGCTACCCACATCAACCGGTAGGAGGGGGGGGGGGGGGTTATGATGGCACCAAACAACCCTGCACCGTGAGCAGCAGCAGCAGCAGCAGCAGCTGGTGCCAGCAAATGAGCACCAGGTTCTGACACGGTGCGAATCGCCTTGGCACCCGAGTGTGAGCGAGCTCCCACTTCCCCTGGTGTGGGGGGTACAGGAGGCTCTGCTCGAGTCGACGGATCGACGCGAGGCAGAGGGACCGTGGCTGGCACGCCGCGGGCGTGGAGCCGCACAGTGGGGGGGGGCTCTCCAAGCCGACGCTAATTTCATGGCGCGCCGGCGAGAGCGGTGCCCGTCGGCCTCATTTGAAAGTCAATTTTCTCCTCTTGATCCGACTCGCAGGAGCACGAGGGCGTTGCCGGTGCAGCGCCAGGGGGGAGTGAGATGAGCGGCGACGGCGGCGGCCGCGTTGCGAAGAGCGTCGCCTCCTCCTCCTCCTCGTCGTCATCGTCGTTGAGTGGGCGACGTCTACGCTCAGCAAGCGCTCCACACCGCCTCGTGACGGCAGACTATTCACACTGCGAGGGACTACAGCTCTCAACGGATCTCTCGTTGGAGCCACAGCATCGCCCTATACAAATGAACGAGCTGAATATATCCGATATACCTAACATTCAGTGTATTATTTTAAAGTTGCCAACAAAGGGTCGAGACCTACTTTGATCCGGCTACAGGAAAGGGGCCTCCACGGGAATCAAGTCCCCCCCCCTCCACCCCGTGCCCCCGGGGGATTTCCACTCCCGGGCATTTTCACCGCGGTGAAGCCTCCCCTGTGCAGACGGTGGCACGTCCGAGTGAGCAATTGCTCGGAGGTGAACGGGACCCGCCCCGAAACTTGTCCAAGCCGGCTCCGAGGACGCGCTTCGTGCGATGTTGTTGCTACGTTAAACCTGGCAGACTCGCTCTGGAATGTGTCCCAGGCCACGGCTACGCCCCGAACTCCAAAGCCATGGCCAAGGGACAGACGGCAACAATGACTCAGGACCCCTCGAGGCCCTCACCCTGCCACTCCCCATCCTTCACCGGTCACCGAGACCGATCGCTCACGACCCTCTGCCACCGTCTCTCCCCTGACTCAATCAGGCCTCTCTCCCTGCTCTGCTTACAGCCTCATCAGAATTGTTTTACTATTGTTATCGTTGTTGTTCGCCCACGAAAGCCTCACCGAGTCTCAAGACTCTTTGACAAGAAGGTCCTGCCAGGTTTTCGCAGTAGGCGGTGATCCCAATTGAGTAATTTGCAGAATAGTTTTTCAACATTGGGATATTTTTGGCAAACACCAGTTGCAATATACTTTTTAAGTTATGATGAAACCCGAGAACCCAGAGGAAACCCACGCAGAAAAGGAGGGAGAACATACAAGCTTCACACAGCAAGGCGCCCAAATCGGGAATCAAGCCCAGGCCCTTCTTGCTGCGAGTGCACAACGGAGAGGGTGGCGGTGGCGGCGGCGGCTCGCACCAGCCAGAGGGTGGTGCGGAGTCCGGGCACTTGCGTCTCACCGTCACGGCGCTACGTTTCACAGACACGTGGGGCGGGGGCGCACGGGGAGAGGCGGCGCGGCCTGCCACTCCCCACGCGACGCCGGGGTCACGTCCTTCATCGCTGCGTCTGCGCTCCATTTTGTTTTGGCTGCCCTCATCACGGGGCTTCAAAAATCTCGCACAAACATCGTGCGTGCGTTCTAACCCATGACAGAACAGCCAAACAGCCCCAATTCCAGTTCCAACCTGTCATTTCAGCTCTTAATATGTACATTGATATTAACACTTAACCATGTGCTCCCTGTCCCTGCGCGCTGCGACGTCCACGTCGCTCGGACGCGACTCACTGGGCCCCCACCTGCCGCCTGACACGATCGCTATCACTCTTTTGCGCGCAGGGACACAAATGACAGATTGTAAGCCACCCGACATTGAAGCCGTCAACTGGAATGCTGCTCCTCCAAAACAAAACAATCCAAAATTTAAACAAGAAAAACGGAAGGCGCTGCACCATCAACCCCGACGAGCCGTGAGTACGATTCCTGGCCACGGCTCACATCACGGGCGAGCGAGATCTGAAGCTGCCATGGGCCTCCTCCCCTCCACCCCCCCCTTCCCCCTTTCCCCACCTTCACCAGCGAGGTGAAGTATGGTCAAACAACCCCTATGAGCGATGTCACACGTGGCGAAGCCATCGTTCAGAAATGGACTGAGAAAGGGCCGTACATTTTTATTATTAAATAATATATTTTTCTAAAGAAAGGCTTCTGTGCAAGAGAAACTCTTGGGTTTGTTTGGAATGAGCTTGGTGACGGAGCTGTGAGTGGCGAGAGTCGTCGTGAAACAGCGGAGACGTCCCAGCTGCGGCACTGCAACACACTCCTATAGGGTGCAGGGGTGGAAGTTCAGAGTCTAGGGGTGGAAGTTCAGAGTCTAGGGGTGGACGTTTGGGGTTTAGGGGTGGAAGTTCAGAGTCTAGGGGTGGAAGTTCAGAGTCTAGGGGTGGACGTTTGGGGTTTAGGGGTGGAAGTTCAGAGTCTAGGGGTGGAAGTTCAGAGTCTAGGGGTGGAAGTTCAGAGTCTAGGGGTGGAAGTTCAGAGTCTAGGGGTGGAAGTTCAGAGTCTAGGGGTGGACGTTTGGGGTTTAGTGGTGGACAATTAGGGTTTAGTGGTGGACGTTTAGGGTTTAGTAGTGGACATTTATGGTTTAGTAGTGGATGTTTAGGTTTAATAGTGGACGTTGAGGGTTTAGTGGTGGACGTTGAGGGTTTAGTGGTGGATGTTTAAGGGTGGAGGTTTGCTTTACGTGAGGCAGTGTACAGTGGTCTATAGCACTCGAAACAGCAGCACTGCAATGAGAATTAAATCTTACGGAGTGATTTTAAATCAGAAATAAAAAACAGATGAAAGCCAAACGCAACTGGAATTCTCCATCTGCAAGTTCTTTAACATTACAGACACACGAGTGGGGTGGGGGGGATACTGAAAACAAAACAAACACAAATCTGCGGCATACTGTACTCCTTCTAAATCTGTTCTTCATGTCCTTTCTCATTCTTACTGCTGTGTCTAGTACCAGGTCTTCAAAACGTTAACATGTATTCTCCGAGTAACACCAAAATATTCATTTAAAACACAAAAGGTCTACACAAATATAATCGCAATAAAAAGTAACGTTACATAAGGTGCATTATGGTTAGGCAGTGATATATTTTGAGTGCGCTGCTCACAGCTCTGAGAGCTGAAGAACTGATCAATTCAGCTTTTCATCAGCTCTATAGGGCAATGGAATGAGTTGCACTGTATGTGTGCCAAAGTTTTTTCGTACGTAGCCACCCGTGCTGATCTGAGGTGTGAGGGAAGGACAACAAACTGAACAGTGGGGGAAAGAAACGGTGGTTGTCCTGTGGAGAGACCGGTCCCCAGCCATGGTAATGTGGAGTTTCCACCACTGGCTTCAGGACAGCCAGCATAGTGCTGGCCAACACTCGTGTAGGTGTCGGCACGGCTGGTTGGTGAGCCCGGTGGCGCTGGGCTTTATTGCCGCGATGGTGTTTAGCCGATTGTGGGCACGGCGGTGGCTCCCGCACGGCACTGGACAACACAACGGTCGCTCGACGGCCTGGAAACAAAATTGCTTCGGGAGGAAATACGGCGGTGTCAGGGCAACGTGGACACCACGGGGGAGCTCGTGGCATGACGCCAGCCAATGAGAGGGCTTTGTTGTTTTTTTATGTAAACATTACACAGGATGAGAATAGGTTTTCCCCTTTTTTCTGGCAACTAAACAGGTGTGAAGATGTTAAAACACCAAACTGAAACTTTTACAAGGATTCATGACAGCATTAACCAAATCCCAGGCTGCGCAGGCTGGGAGGCCGCGGTGCGTTGGGCTGCCAAGGACCCACCTGAAATATGACGAGGAAGAGATTCTTCTGCTCGCTTTGAGCCATCTCCAGCTTCTCCTGCAGCCGCTCCACAGCCTCCTCAAGCGAGGAGGCGTCTTCCGGCCGCTCGTCCTCATCGTCGCTGTCGATCTGAAACGACGTGCGAAGCGCAGCCATACGGCACCGCTCGCCACTTCGCTGCTGGACAAACCACAACCCGTTCCCCTCCGCCGCCAACAACGCGGTCCCAGCTGCGTGATTTCAGTTTCTCCCGCAGGAGGAAACGTGACTGTTTGGATGAGGATCGTGCGCGCACAGAGTAAAAATGTAATCATAATTTGGATGGGTAGCACGCCCCTCAGCGTTCGCTCCTCGCTCTACAAGAGAGGACGACTCAGAGGCGCCAGGAGGAGGAGGAACCGCAGACGGGGAGCGGGGAGGCAGCCTCTCGGCGAGGAGCCGGTGCCAACAAATGCCCAAAGCTTTGCGAGCAAATGCCTTCAGTACCCCCCCCCCCTCACTTTTAATGTTTGTATTGAAGCCTCGACACAAACACAACCAAGGTTATTGAAGCTTTGGACGATAGCCGTGACCCCACTGGGTGATTCTCCCTCAGTAACCCCTCTCTTTTCAAGTGCAACTATTATTAAATGTTTAATTTTAGAGATGTAATATTTTAAAGATGAAATATTTCTTGTTCTAAAAGCATTCATGGCACAGAAAGTGGCGGAGAGCAGCGGCTCACCGAGATTCCAGACACAACAACCATGAGAGAGCCAAATCAGACCGGTTTTAATGCTGCCAACATTTAAGATCTGACATATTTGACAAGACCGGGCAAAGGAATAATGAGAGGTCATGCTGTACACTGAAGAGATTTTGACTTTCCAGTCAAGCTGGAGATTTGTGCTTCAATACAGCTAAAGCCCACTGAGAGCTGCTCGCTAATTTTCAGAGGTGACCTCACCACCCATGACAAGCTCACCGAGTGGGCTCTATCATCACACGCCGGCCATTTATAGCAGCAGCCAAATCATCTAAACGCATATTTCTAAATTTGGAGGACAACACCAAAGGCCCTGGAGAAACATCCACGTGAACACCATGGGGAGAGAGAATACGCGGACTCCAAATAAACAACAGGCGTCGTCGGAGTTCGGGGTCAAACCCACTCCCTCCCTCCTGCGTACCAGGCCCGGGAGATTACATCTCACTGCTGCAAATGCTAATCTAATGCCACCACAGAGTTTGAAATGTTGATTCTAACTGCTGCATCTCGGAATCTGTCATGTTAATTTCCTGCACTCTGACTCTTTGACCGATGTATTCGCGAGTTCATTCACCCTGCCGGCTGTGAACTCAACGCACGCCCCACCACTCTGGATCCTCCCTCCGATGCCAACCTCGCTAAGCGCCCTCTCGTCTGTGCACCACTCCCATTTTTGCACGAATCACCCACAACTTGGGAGTTGTTTTGAGAGCGTTCATGTTATCTGAGAAATTCTATATTATGACCTCTTGAAACCTAAAACCCAATATTTGATTCCAATGGAGAATTAAAATCCCACTCCGCCGTGATTACTGTCAAACCTAGCTGTGTGAAAGAGTAGATGCCACTCTTCACAAGTGCGGCGTGTTCCCATTTTCTTCTCACCTCACCAAAGACCAACTATACAAGAACTTATTTCTCGCAATTCTCTCCCCGGTTCGATAAAGTCGCATTACGTAGCAACAAGGCGTCTTGCTCTTACCCAGCGACTGTGACGATGACCTCCTGCGACACCTCCCCTACGTGTACGATGACACCCGAGGTGCAGGTGACTCGGTCATGCTGCACGTGCATGATAAGTTTGAAGCGTTGTGTTGGCAGGAACACAATGGGAAAACACGTGGAAGCGCCCGCGTGCACGCAAGGCTGGGATCACAACAATGACACGGAGAGGCGCACGGAGAGCGTGTGGACAACTACAGTGGATCACGACAAGCGGCATTCCAACGTTCAAATTGCTTGGGCATAAAAATGGAGAAAACGTTGAATAGGGCGTGCATAGTTTAGTTTTCATAGTTTCATTTATTTGGTATAGCCCTGTGAGCCATTCGGCTCTTGAATCGGGTGCAACCGCAACAAACAAAAAAAAACATGAACAAGAAAACATCTTAAAGTGACTTTGTGCATGTGCAAACAGAAAATCCAGGAAAAAACATCTAAATATTCCAGAAGCATGGGAAGGTGCTTGAAATTACATTGAGACACAGAGAGAGGAACACACGAATCAGAGAGCCGTGTTAAAGGCTCGCGAGGAGGGCGGCTAGGGAAGTCCAAGTTACTGGAAGAGGAGCTGGCCGCTAATGGAGACAAACGACGATGTGACAAAGCAAAGAAGGCGCCCGTGAGGACTACCACCGTCTCGGAGACGGAGTGCTGACGAGATTAGCCAGTGTGCCGGAGCTAGCGGATCGTGCATCTTGGGATCGAGAGAAATGGAGACGCTTCGGGAGGTCTTGATTCAGCAGTGGAAAGATCATGCCTGATGATAATCGAGTTAACATTGTGCTCTCCGCTTGCGGAGCAAATCTGTTGCTTTACGTTGTGATTGGACTTTTCCCCGACATGAGACGCAAGCCCGGGTTGCACACCAACGCGAGGCGTTTGTGTGGCCGGTGTCCCCATCTGGTTTGTTTTATACGCATGGCCCACACAAAACACACACTGCAATGTCAAGTCCACCTGAACGCAATTCAATGGTAAGCGAACAAAGGAATTAATTCCCTTCTCTGGGCATCAGCTGACACTTTGCTGATTGGTAATTGTATTTACAATATCAGTGGAGAGCTGCCAAAGCAGCAACAAAACCAACAACAAGACGCTTCCACAATGACGCCACAGCTTACGGTGGAACTCTGGGCAGTGCCACTCTGGGCATCGCGACCCTGGGCAGCGCCACTCAGTCTCCTTTCATTCTCCTCTTTACCACGGACCCAGGCCGACACTTCTGCCGTCTGGAACGTCATCGCGAATTCTACCCACACGGACTTTTAAGAGGCACTCAAAGGCCCCGGCTCCTCTCTCTCGCCGGCTTTCTGGTGACCGTGAGCTTGGCTCTGTGCCTCGGTCACTTCCTTACCCGATACATTGCTTACGTTATAAACCGCACTATTATTTTTACGATTGAAAAGACCAGGTCCGAGATGAGATCCAACGAAGACAAGCTGTACCGTCGCCGACGCACGAGCTACGTGAACGACTCGAGCGGTCAGCGCTGGGCTGTGTGCACCTCTCAGGCACCTACCCGGTTAAGGTGGCGGTCGAGTTTATCGCGGGCCTCCTCCAGCTCGCGCTGCACCTTCTGCACGTGCTTGTTCATCTTCCGCACCGTCGAATGGATGATCTCCCAGACGTAGAGCCTGACGGGAAAGCGGAAACCACGGAGATAAGCGGGGCCATGGAGTTTGCGCCTCGCAGGCGAGGGTTTGGTAGCTCGTGCAGATTTGTAAAACGCTCAAATCCGCCGGGCTGCGAGGCGGCCAGAGGATGGCAGCAGACCGAGTGGGTTCGTAACCCTTCTGTGCAGACCTCGGACTCCTCGTGCCCCGATGTATACGATGGCTTTGATTAAACAAAATTGCAGGTGACCGAAGACCATGGTTCTATCGCACCATACGTAGCCAACCGTGCTAATCGGAGGTGCATAGCAACAGGCTCTCTAAGCAATTGAAGATATCTTTCGGAGGGACACAACTGCCACCACGGCTGCTCTACGCAACGCCGACACCACCGCACTCTCGGTTTCCTGCCAACACAAAACACAAATCCGACACATTTCAGTGAAGGACCTCCTACACAATCTTGAGACTGGATGAGGTTCTTCATGAATAAATGAGAAATTTCCAGACACTCCAGATGGCATCCCCACCACTCCCTCCAAGCCAGGGCTGCTTCGACCAGCGGCTTGTGGTCTGTGCCCCGAGCTGCCGGAGGAGTGAGGCACGCAGGGTACGGCAGTACAGCACACGTGGGTTAGTCACCATCCACGTGGACCTTGACTGTTACACCTTTGCTTATGAGAGTTATCATAGGCAGTCTGATATTCTTCAATATGACGTTTAAAAAAAATATATACTGTCTTGAGTTTTAGTAAAGAATTTCTGGATAAATATAACACATTATTATTCTGGTTTATATGTGGGTTAAGTAAACAGGATAAACTTAAAATACTAACACTTCTGAAAATGTCTCCGATTTGATTTGTAGACCTTCAAAAAAAAACATTACTCTAAAAGGATATTTACCAGGTTCATAAAAAAAAAACATCTACTTACGATTTACTTCTGCATAACCTTTACAGATGCATTGTTTTGGGAATTAGTTATTACGATATAGAAAGCCACAGTGCATCGTAACATAACGTGACATTGGACAATTATACAAAGAAACATCCAATGTTGTAGTACAACTCTCCCCACAATCCAAACCATACAGGGTTGGTCACAGAGTGCCATGGGTGTGAGCGTGCACGCACAAGAGCACAACTAAATACAACACCACTTCATTTTGAGCCGACATCCTGAGTGTAATATTTCACATGTTGTTTTGGGTCACAGACATATTTGGCAGCTGAAGGGAATTTATCACAAACTGGAGTAAATTCTAGCTTGTTTATCAAGCCTTCAGGCTCTTGCTCATTTTCCCCTTCTATGGATGGTCTACAGTTGTACGGGAAGGGCTGTACAGTGTAATGGTGGGCAGGATGGCTACACTGTACTAATTATCCCTAAGAAGGGAAAAATCCACATATTTTCCATGTCGCTTTATTACCACAAAATGTAAAAGACCCCAGTCACATGCCCTTAGGGCTGCTATTGAGATTCAGGCTGATGTACACAACCACACCAATGGAGGGAATTAGAGTGTTTGGATACTACCCATGATGCCTTGCAACCGTAGTAAAATGTGTGTTAATTGCTACGATGAGTCAGCCTTCACAGAACGTGGGGGGGTTACAGTGGAGCGAGAGGATGTGAGCCATAACGAGGAGGACGCCATCGTGCCCTGTGACCTCTGCTCTGACATTGTTCTGTAGGTTAATTTGCGATCTCGTGCTACCAGTGCAGTTGCTGCATTGTGGACAGATAAATCAACGATTACCAAACTATTTCATTTTATAAAACACAATTCTTACTCCATGATAATTAAAGTCTCCTCTAATTATTGTCCCTTTTACTAACCTGATGGCTGAGAGACGTCAAATTATTCTTGCCGCTATATAATTTTTCACCACACAATATCATATGTCATGATATGTCGATTACTGCGCTAACAGTTTCCCACAACTGTGTAATCGTATTTCATATATTAATTGGATTGCTTGTTGTGCATTGCTGTGCTTCCAGTACAAACAAAGAGCAGTCCTTGAAGGTTCTTAAAATCTCGTAGTTCCCTCAACATTCGGCTGCCTGGAGTCGCATCATGTCTGCAGGTGTGTGGCCTGTAATGCTCATAATGAACATGCTGCCAGGCACTCACAAAATATTCTCATATCCTTATGAATTATATTACCTCGTTAAAAATTAAAGGGTGATATAACCACCATTTTGCCTAATATGCTAAAAAAAACTATTTAATGTTTAATAGCAATATAATTTCAACTTTAACAACCGAGTTTGTTATTGTAGAAATATTTTTTTCAGAAAAATATTTCAGACTCCTAAAATGAATAACAACAATCACGCTTTGACGCTAAACGGACGGCACAATCATCGTGGTTCTCATATCGTGCGATGAACCACAGCTTCGACGTATCGTGGCGACCCTGCATCTGTTTAAGAAAGCACGATGGGATGATTGGGAGACACGCAGACGGACAGTTGGCGGGGCCAAGCAGGGTGCGATGGGGACGATTGCCCCTCCCCCCCCCCCCCCCACGTGATCCTGAAAATTGGTATTTTATTGATATTCACCAGAAAAAAACTCTAGGCCCGATTTAAGATTAGCACGATTGGCTATATACAGGCCCGATTTCAAAGAGCTTTAAAAAATGTTGGGACTATCGCCTTCGTTGGGAAGTGTCTAGATCCGCCTCCGCAGAGGGAGAGGAGAGAACTTGGCTCCGCGACAGCGGCGCACCTCCGCTGCCGCCCACCGGGCGCCAGACTCCGTGAGCCGGGCCTCTGTGGGGAGGCAGCGATGCGACGCTGGATGGGGCCCCGCAAGGGAGCAGAAGAACGAGTCTTTCACAAGGGTTTCTGTGGTGATGCCAAGCAACCTGCAAGAATTTAAGAGTTGCGCGAGGATTGGAGTGTAACGTGGCAGCTATTGACGCGGGGGGGGGGGCACGTTGAACCCCAGCGGGCTCGACCTACGACCCTGCGAGTAAAGCGCGCCCGGCGCCTTCACCTTGCATACAGCTGTATCAGCTCACTGGGCCACGTGCACTGCCCAAGAGCACACAAAAGATAGCGAGGCGTGGGGGGGGGGCATGGCAGATCATCTCGGATGGGGGGCACACGGCTGCACGCCTTCATACCCACGTGTGCTGTCCCGCCCGCGTTTGTGGGCAACCGAAAATTGACAGGCACGCGTGTTATCAGTTTCTTAAAACCTTTTGTGGCCCTCCTCACAGAAACACGCATGTGTGTGTGAGCGCAGCAGTGTGTGTGTGAGCGCAGCAGTAGGTGTGTGGGCAGCAGTGGGTGTGTGGGCAGCAGTGTGTGTGTGGGCAGCAGCACCAGCAGAGGCATCGCACCTGGTGAACTCCTGCGCCATGTCGGCCGAGAACACCCAGTTGGCGACGGCGGCACAATCGACGATGCGCATGCGAATCATCTTGTCCACGAGCACCGACATCATCTGCCAAGCACAGCACAGGCCTCGGCGTTTGGACAAAGCGCCACGAGCTCACTCACCAAAGCGTTTCACTGGAGGCAACACGAGGGGGGCTTGCCGAGGGTTATCTTACAAGATGCAGATATAAAGTAAGGTCTCAGAGTGGGCGGGCTCAGAGGACGCGGACCCGTTCATACGCGACGGACCCCGATTTATACTTGTGACTCGTACTTTCACTACACGCACGGGCCGGGAAGCGAGTCAAATCACCCCCCGTTAACAACGTGAACGTGGATTTGACGGCGTGTAACTGTATCGCCTGCGCAAGAAACAAGTCCACCCAGCTCGCACCTTTCATATTTATCATACACGGATGATTGGTGAATCATTTACTGTACAATACTGTACTTTGTTAAGCACGAGAATTTCGGCAGCCTGCGGCCACCTTAATCCAGCTCCTGCTGAGCGCCTCGCCCGTCGCCCCCACTGATGCCCTCTTCTTCCCCCCCCACTATGTGTGCAGATACTCCTGACTATTGCAATAGGGGGAGTTAATAATTTATTTTGTAAACCTGTTGGATCAACTTTTTACCCCCACCTCTGGGGGGGGGGGGGGGGCCCACTTTCTATAACTTTTTGATTCAGACCTTCTGAAAAGCTCTGATAATTTAGCTGACGGACAAACGGAACGCCGGGCTTTTATAATAGATGTACATTAATATACATTGTATAGGCTCTTACATTTTATTGACACTCGTATAGGCGAACCCCAACTTACGCGAATTCACGCTTACGCGGTGGTACACGGAACTCTACCCCCACCGCGTACCGAGACCTTACTGTACTGGCGAGGACCTGCAGGTCAGAAAAACAACATCACGGCCACGGTGGAGTCTCGCTGTGCTGGTGCTCGTGCAATGCACGGGACATGCAGCAAGTGACTGCGTGCCCATGTGCAGTCATGGACACAAACGTGGGCAGCAAGGAGGCAGGTGTGTGCATCCGGCTGACAGAGGAGCATCCAGGCTTCAAACAAATTATATTATACCCAGGAGTCTGCGATATTGCTGACAACAGCAAGTGCATCATACCCAGGAGTACCTAACAATGCAGAAACAGGATCTGCAGATGTACTGCTCAGCTGTTCACTCCAAAGAGTCTGCACAGGACAAAGGCGAATGAACCGCTAGTGTCTATGCCACCGAAGCAGAGACAAGGCCACGCGCGCGTGCCTCTCCCTGGACGTGACCATGACAGATTGCTGCACCCATAAATACCGCACACTCCACAGCTGGGGAGGAGGTGACACGGCACTCCACCTGCATTACCTGTGGATGGTTCCTCCACACATCATACATGGACTTCAGAATGTGGACTTTTCCTTCATCCGTGTCGGCGAGAAGCTTGAAAATTTCATGAAACCTAGGGGAAGATCAAAAGAGAGAACACTAAAGTGACTTATCTGTAATTCATGCGCACGACAAAACGGCTCTCGAAAACCATCGCAATACGGGAGCAAGAATTCTAAATAATCTCATCTATGATGTGCAGGCGTTGGCTGTGCAGAGCAAGGGTGAGCAATGGGGTACAACAGCCCAACTGCCTTGTTGGTCAAGTCTCATGTCGAATTCATTTGTTTAACCAGGTAAGAACTCAAGAGACCAGGACAATTCTAGATTTGAAGCTTTCGTGACTGCAAGGATCCATACTCTTTGGTTCAATTCGGTAAAGTCACGTAGGTAAAAAATAAAACAACAAAAATCACGACGTTTCGGCCACAACACAAGCGGCCTTCATCAGGGGAAGGGAGCAGACTGTCCCGAGGACAGCGCTGGAGTGAAACAGCCACGCTCAGACCTGAAGAAGGCCGCTTGTGTTGTGGCCGAAACGTCGTGATTTTTGTTGTTTTATTTTTTACCTACGTGACTTTACCGAATAGAACCAAATAGTATGGACCAGGACAAGTTTCACTTGTGAGAGTCACCTGGGCAAACGCGGTCAACGCGGGAGCGAAACCACAGCGTGTTACTGTTGCCACGTAGAGATTGCTGATATCGCCAGAGCTGGGCCGATGTGCTCACCATAAATGATTCACGTCCGGTCAAATGAGACCGAAAAACGTTGGGGACAACCGAGTGCCGGCCAAAAATGTCGAACGAAATGACACCGGCCGCTTACTTGGCAAGTGCGCTGAAGGAATGACTGAACGACTTGGACGCCAGGGACAAGAGGCTCTGCACGAAGAGCTCCGTCTTGAGGGGGTTGAAGGAGCCCTCTTCGTCTGCAAACGACAGCCACGGCCGTCAAGCGCGGAGACACCAAACGCGAGCGACGCCAACGCGGCTGGGTTTCCCCGAGCCTCGCATGATGCGACACTCACCGTGCAAATACCCGCTTATTGCTTTAGCAGCGCAGCACGCACCGGGTTCTGTGCGTAGATTGATTTGCTCAGAGAATTCAACGTCTCCCCCAGCTCACATGAGCACTGGGGTCGTCACTCATCTGTTGGCAGCGGAAGAAATTCCACATAGGCATGGCAGGAGCCAGTCTCTCTGCAGACCGCAAATAACGTGACTCTATTAGTTTAATCGACAAGGCTGATGAAGATTGATTAAAATAAATGTTTACGTTAATGTATAAAGTAGTGCAAGTAAGTTTCAATTATTAATATTTTTTGCAAAGCCAATATGCGAGTGTACCTTTTGGTTAGCTCAACTGACATGACAGAAAACAAAACTTTCAAGATACAGAATATGAATGAGACGATAAGAGACAAACATGAATGGATTTATCAACAGAAACGGAATCCCAAATTGTTAAAATTCATCATCCAATTGCCCTGGGGGGGTGTAGGGGGGGGGAGGACTGCACACCAGGACTTTAGTTTTCCAATTCTTAGTTGAGCACTCGAATCGCAGTTCCACCCAGCCACAATAATGTGGACCCGACCAACGGCAAGACGCACGACTGTCTTGCCCTGCGAGTTGGAGAGAAGCGTTTGGCAGCACTGGCTTGGTGTGCAGTGAAAGGGTGAGCGGACGGTGAACAGAGGAGCAGCAGCAGCAGCAGCTCACCATCCTCCTCCTGGTTGGGGTTGGGCACATCCTTGAGGATGTTGAGGATCTCATCGTGAGACTTCTTGCTCTTGAAGGCCTCCACCAGGACGCCGGCCATCTGGTACTCGGGCAGGGAGCCTACGTCACGTGCAAACAACCAGCATCACCAGCGGCGGCAGCAGCTCGCCACGCCCCGCCGTGATCACAACACTTGACACGTGGTGACCCCAGCTCGAGTTCAGCCGGGAGGTCACCAGAGAGACAGGGACTAACATAACCAACCCTTTCTTTTCTCAACCAGGATGTAAAGCGGTGCTTCCAATATATGTCACAGCAGGTGTACATCAGACATCTACCATTCATAAGGCAAAGAGTCCGCTTCCTCACAAAATAAATAGGGTGGCGTTCGTATCTTTGGTGGCCCTGAATCAGGGGTGGAAATTCCACATTCTCGTGGTGGGAGTCAGTTTCCCCAATCTTGCCACAAAGTGGTGGTTATTTTAGCAAGCCCAGAGGATAAACTTAACTTATCCCCCCAGTTGAGAATTGAACTCTCAACTTTCTGAATGCACGTCTAGAGGCCTACCTAAACATAAACGTATACAATGGCCTTCTACAGGGAAAGTGGCAGTAAGTATAAAGGTTAAGGAACTTACTATTAGACTCATCCGCATACTTGTAGATGCACCCAGGGTTGGCTGGCAGCAGAGCGGCAAAGCTCTCGGGGGTATTGTCCACAATGCGCTGGAAGTAGGAAAGCCTGGCACAGGAGAAAGAACGAGCAGCCTCAACACCACTGTGCCCAACTCACGGAGTGGGGGGGGGGGCACGCACTCAAACAGCTACGGTCGCGGCATTTACAGGGCAACCGTTTACAGGGCAACCGTTTCACCGAGCGTACCGGGCACCTCGGCGTCTCTACTCGTGGTAAAACTCCACGAATTGGGGCAGCGGAGTGCGGCCGCACACATGGACAAGACGGCAATCACAACTGGATACTGAATGTGGACGCAACGTTCGGTCACTCAGGGTTTAGGTTTGGATTCTCGCGCAAGTAAAACCCATTGGGAAATAAAAGCTAATTTTCGATGGGGACCTGGTTACACCATAGAAACCTAGTTACTACAGCAAAATAAACGTTAACAAAACAATGCAAAAGCTACCGAGCATGGTCAAGTTCCGAATCACAAGGTCGTGCATCAACACGGTACAGCTAGCACAAAATATACAACAGGATGTACAAAATAACATGTGTAGTGACACTGCTGGATGTCACCATGCTGTGGGTGCAGTACCGGCCCTAGAGGGGCACAGTGTGCGGTGTCGCGACATTGCCTCGATACCACAATGTTGTGGGTGTAGTACCAGCCCTAGAGGGGCACGGTGTGCGCTGAATAATAGACCTGGATGGCGCCACGCTTTAAGTGCAGTGCCGACCCCACAGGACAGGGTGTGTGGCTGCCGACCCAAGGATGAGGTGCGAGGCCATGGCACTCTGGTTGACCCGGGAGGACACGTGACCGGTTAAGTAGACAGAGGAGCCCCCAGAGGGGGCCAGGAGTGGTCACATGATTGGGACCCAGATCCTTCTCGAGGATTCTGGAAGGTGGACGTGGCCAAGGGCGGAGCCGGCCACGCCACAGAGAATATAAGCCGGGTCCCGGGAGGGACCAGGGTTGTCCATTCTGGAAGAAATCTTCGTCTACGATCTCCGTTCAACGAGTCTCCAACACGTCGTTGGTCCCGGTCCGTAGGAGCAGTCACGTGGGAACTAGTGTAGTTAGCCTGGTGGTCACCACCAGGTTAACTACACCAGTCACGTGGGAACTAGTGTAGTTAGCGGGGTTGTGACCACCTTAGGTTGTTATTCTGTTAAGGGGAAGTTACCTCGTGTGTTCGAACTGAATAAATCTGTTGCCTCCAAAGTCTACGTCTGCGACTCGGTTGAACCCATGACATAGGTATAAACTAAATATGAAAAGTCCCCGAGTTAGCCAGGAAGCTACCCAGAAAGGCAGCGGAGCCGAGGGAAGCTCGCTGCCTGCATGGCGGCCGCGTGTCCGAGCACGCTATCGAGGCAGTGCCACGTGCTGCGAGTGCCACGGTGGGACCAGCGTATCGCGTTCTGCGTCGTGTTGCGTAACGTGCTCGGACTTGTGTTGCAAGTGACGCAGTAAGTGGTATAGTATAACCCGCCTGGCCTTGAGTTGCAAGTTGCCCGGTCTGTGGTATTGCGTGACGTGTTTACAGGTCGAGCTGCTCGCGGTATCGAGTGTTTCTACATGCACGAGTTATTGTATCATGCGTCGGGAGTTTGTACTTTGCGTTGCATTTCGTGTTGTACCCAGACTCAGGTGGCACCTGGTGTGGCGCTCCGTACCGGGGGCACTATCGCACAGCAAATGCGGTACTTTGCACATTGTATCTTTAGGAATACGAGGGTGTGCACCGCAATCATCCGGTGCGATGCGCGCCCTGGGTCGGGACACGGCGTGGTGCTGTGCACGAGCTCTGGGATCCACCGTGGTTGCGTGTGGATGGCGTGGACGAGCATGCAAACAATCCCGTGTTGTCAGAGTAACGAGGTCGGGGGGACGCAGGGACCCCTCCCCCCCATCCCGCGCCAAGCACCAGAAAGCGGCCTCCTCGACGCATGGTCTCCACGCTGCGTGCTCTCAAAAGAGTTCCCGGAAGTCACCCTACCCTTCCCTCTCGGCCGACCCTACAGTAAATCATCATACGGCACGTTGTGGACAGGATATGCGCATGTGACTACAGTACTGTGCATGCTTGATAACCAAGAGGCATCATCCTGGCAAAGCACAGCCCTGCAAGACAACTCATTACACAGCTGTCTTCGTAAGGTTGGCCTACGATTTGCTGTTAGACACCAACGTGTTTTTAAGCACAATGGACAAGACCTTTAAGACGATTTCTCTTCAGATTGCACACGGCCATCAAGTGTAGCCCAAGCGTCGTCAAGTCACCTTACCTGAGACACTTTTCGAGAACTTCCCGGACAAACTTGGGCTTCGGTCCTCCCTGGTCGAGAGTCAGGCAATCCGCCCTGTGGATAAACAGCGTCACCACGAAATTACACGTGGACCAGCAGGAGCGGCAGCACCCAGGACAGGTGGTCTCTGCTTGATGATGATCCACATTTATTTGAACACCACCATGAATCGACTTACGACACAGAAACTTGATTCACCATGCATTTTCTGACATGACTCCAAACACATTTGAACAGTCGGTCTGGTTTCCAATGGCGTAGAGTTTTTGTTATTCGAGTGTTTTTGTGAATGTTCACTGATTAAATCCCGTTAAATACGGCTGATAATATAAAAGGTAAAACACATCGGCAAGTGATGTTTCTACTGTTGATACTCTCTATGGGAAGACAGGGTTCGATTTACGACCATCCAATTTAAGAGGACAGTTTCCAGGAATGCGTTGTAACATCGTAAAAGCGGAGACAACGTGCAGTTACATTCACAGTTGGTTGTTACGTAGATTAACCGCTGATGCTGAATTAACTTTGTAGCTTCCCCAAAGTTTTGGTGCTACCGAGTTTCATCCCTTGGAATCTCCATTCTGCCATTTCTGTCCTCATTTAATCTGGTAACATAATCGCTTTAAATAAGTTTGTTTTTTAAATCTGTAATTGCACAATGCTTCGATATTGCCTGCTGGCCAAGTCGCCCCCTTGTAAAGGAGCTTCTTAGCTCAGTGGGATAAACACTCCTGGTTCTCATGCTTCTGAATGACAACTAAACACGTGCCCTTAACGCACGCACGTCACTCGACTGGGAACACACACGGCAGCAAACCATGGCCCCCCCTCGTGGCAGGCCGAAGCCTCCTCGCAGGGTGGTGCCGACCCACTGCTCCCCAGCTCTTGTAAGCGTGCTCAGTTCAAGAAACACGTAAACTCATGTATCGGATTACAATTATGATTGTGCTGTTTGTTGTGGGACCCTTGGCGTTTTGGACCTCTGGGCCTGTGTTTAGCAACTGTGTTTAAAACAAAAATCATGTGCAGCCATCAGCTTCCATCACAAGAGATGTGGTTTACAAGTAGAAAGCCTAATATGCCATGTGGCTTGTGGATTGAGTACAGAATAACCAGACACATTTGCCCCATGTAGCCTTAACAGACCGATGGGGCAAGTGCTGTTAGGGAGTATCACCTATTAAGGCCGGCACGGCACTCAAGTGGGTCGCCAGCACCACGCCATGCTAAACTAACGCACACTGTAGCTAAGCATACCCCACATGTTAAACATAGCACAGTATTCACACGGCTTACCAGTCTTCCCAGCTCCAACGGAATTGAAAATTGCTCAGGTGGTGAGAGAACCAGTTGATGAATCTATTAAGAGCCAGTCACAGCAAGTCGCACAAAAGAGAAGCAACATTATGCAGGTTAATGACGACGTTGTCAAGCACAGGTACGTTTTAAAATTTAATGGTTTATAAACAAACAAAAAAACCTCACATTTAAAAAAAAACATGTTTTTTGTGGTTTTAACAAGCCAGGCATTACCTCCAGAGCACAAATATAAAGGTTATGTATAAAAAGACAATGGCACCAGCAGTGGGTTTTATATTTCATATTTCATATTCCACGCTTGCAGAGGCACTGGAAAGGGTGAAGGGCCGTCGTCATTCAGAGTTGGGATGTACGGCCAAGGTTCCAAAACCAGAAGCATGTCTCAGGCAATGTTTAAGTGAACGCCACCGTACACCCGTGCGTGCAGAAATGTTCTTTGTTCTACAACAAATTCACGTTGATTATTTCCGTCAAACGCCATTCGTGGGCAATTCTGAGACAGCTCATTAGCCGTGTGTGTTGTGTTTTCCGAAAACATCACTTGGATGTTGGCAATATCCCCGAGGGAAAAGAGACGAAAGAAGAAGTCAGAGCCTTAGCGTAGGACAGGAGCAGTCGAGGGAAAGGGGCGAGACGGCAGGGTGCGGAGGAGAATGAACATGCGAGCAGCTAACCCAACACGACAATAGGGCTTCTTGGCTGTAGATGCATCGCTTAAGTTCCGGTGACGGTCACCTGTCGATGCAGGTGGTGTTCATGTTCTCCAGCCGCATGTAGAGCATCTCTGCTGTTTGTGCCAGCTGGGTGGGTGGACGCAGAGTCAAGGGAACAAGCCTCCATGAAGATTCAACTGCAGTGTCATCAGTCTCTGTCTGAGCAGCACCGGGACTCACTCACCCTTCCTCCCGCATGCCTGACACCACAGCGGCATCCGACGTGTTACGCGTCAGGCCTCTGAGCACATTCCAGCACTGTCTTGACCGCAGCAATGTTACATTTTTATTTAAAAGAATCACTTCGTTTAATGTCTGCAGGAGCTGGAAATTTCCCCACAAAGCACATCTGCTTCATGAGACTCTTCAGCTTCACTGACCATGCGGTCAGCTGCCCGTCAGCTGCCCCTGCCACCCTCTTACTTCCCAACGCACCGCGCCCACGCAGGGTGGCGCCACGGCACTCTTTCCCGAGGCATCGCCGCTAGAGATGTGCCGCTTGTGGTGACGGTGATCACACTTCGAATCGGGCCGAGCCGAAAGCGTCCGGCGAATGCACGGCATTCCAGATCTGTTGGCGTGCGTAATCCCAATCAAGTAAGTTATGCAAAATATTTTTTATTTTGTAAATGTGGATAAAGATGCCAACACAAAATGGCCTACGCTCGTGAATGATGTCAGGGGATCTTTCACATCCACTATGAAACAGCCAGCATGTAACATTATGGGTTAATACACCAGCAGAAATAACCAGGGCGGCCTGCCGGATTCAGACGGTGAAGCTCGTCAACTAGCGGCGAACGCGCCGCCCCCGGGGCGCCGCATCGCCGCCCGCAGCAGAACGACGCTCACAGCGCCGCACCCGAGCGTGAGCGCACGCCGTCCGTGTCGAGCATCTCTGGAATGTTTCAACGCACGGTTACACGGGCACAATGATGGAGCGAACCAGGATTAATGCAGGATATTGCAATCAAGGCTGGCACGGCCCGGTTTTATTCATTCGGGTTTTAATCGGTTTTTATCTAAAACCGGAGCACCTGGATCCTGCCCAAATCCGGTTTTAGTCGCACGCGCCCATTAGCGGCGTTCGGGCCGGGGCCCGGGCTCAGCCGCCGTGCGCGTGAGTCACGCGCACGGCGGCATGGCCACGTCGACCGCCGCTGCGTCCGAGCGAAACTTCTCGACGATGGGATTCATCCATTCCAAGTTGAGGAACAGCCTGGCGCCCAACACAGTCGAGAAGCTCGTCTTCGTTAAGTGGAACCTCAACGCGTTCTACGACTACCGAACGCCCGACGCCGGCGACAACAACACCGAGTCCAGCGGCGACAGCGACGACGACGAGGAGCAGGATTGAAGTGTGCACGAGACGCCGATAATAAAACCAGGTTTTAATCGGCAAAATCGTGTTTAATTCCATTAAAACCAATAACCCGATTTGTTGGGCAAAAAAAATCGGGTTTTTCCCACCCTTGATTGCAATTGATATTGCGGGTTTGGTTTTCGATAATCTACCTTTTAGGGTGGGCCGTAGATCGTTTGAGATTACGGGAAATAATGCAATGAAATGGACAGAAAACAGTTGCCCTAAACACGAGTGACTGCCACACCAGCTGCTGTTGTGTGCTTTAGGAGGGTCAATAGATTGCCAGATTGCCTTCACGACCTGGGCTCATCCATGGAAGTGAATCTAGTCATAGAGATCAAACAGATTATGCCAAGCAATCACATTGTTGAGGCATTGCTACCTGCAATAGTTAATAGAAACAAAAACAGCTTGGGGGTATTTTGGTAGAGGTAGGGAGGTTTAGGCCAGTGGCAGTTAAACTCTTCTTTGTATACTTCTGCCTTTGGGGTAAAAACCAATGTTTGGAACTCATTACGATAGTACATTTTGTACAAAACTCGCCATTCCACATTCAGCATCAGCACTCAACGATGAAAATTGCATAAAAACCGTTACCCTAAGCAAACACATACCCACACACAGCACATTCTCTGGCATTACAATTAGCCTTGTTCATGTGAAAGTGGACTGTATCCAACTTAACTTGCAAATTCTGCCAAGGTTATCCAAAACGCCAAAGCGGGCAAGAAGGAGTAACCCAAAACAAACGCCCAATTGTAGAATTTTTTTTATCCACTTTACAGTCTCTACGTTTGGTCGCATCTGGCAACGGCTCTTATGGGCAAAGGGCCCAGGCCGCCTCGTTTGGAACGTGTAGCAGCCTGGCTTCCGCCATGCGACAGAGGGAGTGAGCACGCGACGAGCGGAGGCAGCAGAGCGGAGGATACAACTTGCGGCAGTGAGCTGGGCTGCAGCTTGCAGAGCTCGATGAGCAGGGCGGTGTACATCACCTCGATGCACGGCGGGCACGGCAGCTGGAACAGCTCGCCGAAAATCACCTGGCCAGCATAGTCACGGCACATTCCGTTGTCAGCGTGTCGCTCGGTTGTGTACGGTCGAGCCCCAGTGTTGGCACGTTGGCCAGCCAGCCCGACCACCAACTCAGTGGAACGGCAATTTAAAAATGCATGTTATGATTTACCCCTAAAAAAATCCCCCCCCTATAGCCTTTATAGACTGTTGGGGCAAGTGTAGTTGGTGATCACCTATGAGGGCCAATACGATACACAAGGGGGGTGAGGCTAAAAACCACGCCCGACCACCTTTGTCTCCCATGTGGCGATATATATACACCGCGCCAGGTACTCATTTGAGGCTGAGTCGACCTAGGGGAGTCCCAGGATTGGTTCAGATACCGTGAACAGTTCATTGTGCCGCACACTAACCGCAGCGCCACCGCTCCCCACTGATTTGCCCCCCCCCCCAAAACACTCGCGCAGCAGGGTACAGTGTGGCGGCGATGTGGGCTAACGCTGTGGCACAGCAGGGTACAGTGTGGCGGCGATGTGGTAAACACTGTGGCACAGCAGGGTACAGTGTGGCGGCGATGTGGTAAACGCTGTGGCACAGCAGGGTACAGTGTGGCGGCGATGTGGTAAACGCTGTGGCACAGCAGGGTACAGTGTGGCGGCGATGTGGTAAACGCTGTGGCGCAGCAGGGTACAGTGTGGCGGCGATGTGGGCTAACGCTGTGGCACAGCAGGGTACAGTGTGGCGGCGATGTGGTAAACACTGTGGCACAGCAGGGTACAGTGTGGCGGCGATGTGGTAAACGCTGTGGCACAGCAGGGTACAGTGTGGCGGCGATGTGGTAAACGCTGTGGCACAGCAGGGTACAGTGTGGCGGCGATGTGGTAAATGCTGCGGCACAGTAGGGTACAGTGTGACGGCGATGTGGTAAACCCTGTGGCATGAGCACCCGCGGGGGCAGTGGGGGCGCCAGGTGGCGGTGACGTCGCGCACAGCGCACAAACTGCCACCTTCTTTTCTTTCAATGTTTCAAAACAACGTTGGGAGTGAATCAATAAATTTTAAATCGTTGCAGTGAAACGGAGTAATTCGGAGCAATGCAAAAGTGGGGAAATAGCTTGGCTGTAAAGGATGTCGCCTCAAGAGTCAACACGGGTTCCAGAGCCCTTTAAAAGCGAGGGCAAAAACCAGGCCAGGAATGAGAGGGGAGGAGGCGGCCGCTTTCCAACATAAGTTTGGGTTTTGAAACCGCGCCTCACGCTTTGTGACAAGCAGTCAGGGCACAGCAGCAGCGTCTGTTTAATGATCAGCGTTCTAGCTGACGGGAGCATTGGCAACCGTTGGTATGATTGGAAGCGTCCAATCCACCAGAGCAAAAGAGTTCATTAAAAAAATGATCACGATCACTCGTACAACTATTGTTTCATGATAACGTGTGCTTCGGAGCTTGTTATGTTAAAAAACAATGCTAAGTGGCAAGTGTCACATAATAACAGATAGATACAGATACATGTTGGCATTTCTCAAGTGTTTTAAACGTCTGTTTATTAAAGGCTGTGTTGCAGTCACCTCGATGACCATGTAGTTGAGCGGGATTTTGGTTCTTCCAAGGTAGCTGACCAGCTGGACTGCACTGCAAACAGAGATACATCATCCCATTAAACCCACAGTTCCTAAACGCACAATCACAGGGACAATCACAGGCAGGGTTCCAAGTTGTCACGAACAATGTGCCATTGTGCTACAACCGCACCCATGCTGAATAAACTAATATATGGGCAAGGCTGGGAGCCTGGAAAAACTAACACCAAATTGACGTTTCGGGAGTTAGTTGTGCAATTGGTCTTTGGCTAAATAATGATCATGCAATTGTACTAACTCGTGCATTAATTTGAAATGTAGTGTGTTTTAGACTCAAAAGAGGCCTATCATCTTAGCTCAAAAGCCTCACTTGTGGGCACACAATTCCAGTCTGGATGAGCAAGAGAAAATGTCTGTTTTTCCTTCCTAGCTTCCCCGGACACGCACACTGCCCTCATCTTACTTTCCACTAGGAAACGTTGGTATAATACCCCATAGTCTTGACAACAATATCATCTGACTTTCACAAATGGTTTAAAAAGATGTGCCCCTCAATTCCCCGCGGCCGATTTAAATCTCTTCCCTTTGGGGTTTTTCCGGATGCCTGGAAGTTTGTGCATTTCCATCAAATTCCTAAGGTGAAGTCAAACATTTATATATTACCATCACCAACCACCGTGACCGCCGCTATTTCCTTTCCTTTCTCCAAACTTAAAGGGTCTACGATCATGATGCGTCCCGCCCAGCTTCCATGCTCGCTGGTGACCATGACAACACGTCCCACCCAGCTTCATCGCTCGCTGGTGACCATGACAACGCGTCCCACCCAGCTTCAATGCTCGCTGGTGACCATGACAACGCGTCCCGCCCAGCTTCATCGCTCGCTGGTGACCATGACAACGCGTCCCACCCAGCTTCAATGCTCGCTGGTGACCATGACAACGCGTCCCACCCAGCTTCTTTGCTCGCTGGTGACCATGACAACGCGTCCCACCCAGCTTCTTTGCTCGCTGGTGACCATGACAACGCGTCCCACCCAGCTTCATCGCTCGCTGGTGACCATGACAACGCGTCCCACCCAGCTTCTTTGCTCGCTGGTGACCAATGCAACGCGTCCCACCCAGCTTCTTTGCTCGCTGGTGACCATGACAACGCGTCCCACCCAGCTTCAATGCTCGCTGGTGACCATGACAACGCGTCCCACCCAGCTGCTTTGCTCGCTGGTGACCACTGCTTCGTTTCCACTAGGGACCCTCGCCGAACAGTCGGAGCAACGTACCCCACGCGCGCAATCGGCTAACCTGACGCCGGCGTTTCTGCTTGCACGCTTCTAGAGGCCTCAACAGTTGCACCGTGCCCCATTAGCAAACTCACCCACGACAGCCTCCATTGCACAGTCACAGGAATGCTAATAATTACTGTGAATCGCTCTCATTTCTCAGACCACAGATGTGTGAATGTGTACGATTATAATCAAGCCTTGAGCTCCCTCTAGTGATTTCACATTGTCGAGACAATTACGCGTAACGCTTGTAATGTCTCCTCAAAACATATACTTAAGTATTTGGTGGCGGATCCTATATACATGTATCCCTAGCTCTTTGGTCCACACATTACGAGTTTTGCTTCAAACGGGGACATCCAGAGTTTCTAAGACAAAAGGAAGTGGGTTTGCCAATCAGGGAACACCAATCGTATTCAATGGGAAACTTGAGAAAATTAAAGTCGCACACATCGTGCCGAGTATAAGACCTGGTCAGAGTGTTGTATACGGCCCTTTTTCCATCATTAATATAAATAAAATATTTGCCGATATATTATTTTTCTTTCGAAATAATGAATGAAAACGACAAGCATAAGCAAACAGCATGTGGAGGTCATGGAAGGGCCGTTGAATTGAAATTAAAAATAATAGGCTCACGGGAAGGCTAGGACTCCGTGAACAGCACTCCCCCACCACAGCTGGACGAATAACACACCACACGTGCAAGAGAGGGGGGGGGGGGAGAATTCCTTGCTAACGAAGTGTCAGCAAACCTCAGCAAACAAATTAAGTTCACAACCTTGTTGAACATAAAACAAATAATAATTGAGTGATGTAAACCAAGGGCAACGGAGAGAAGGAGAGACGCCTTTGTCTTCCTGCAGCACGAGAGAGCGGACAGGAATCAGAGCCGAGTCATTATTACAACCACCTGCGCTCGCGGGAAGGCTGGGAATCCGTAGATAACACTCCTCCACCGCAGCTACACAGAGTGACGAAAATTAATGAGGACTGGAGAGGTGCCAGGATAGCGGGGCGAATAAACTAAGGGCAACGGAGAGGAGAGACGCCTTTGTCTTCCTGCAACACAGACAGAGAGGCGCCCTTGAGACGATTTGTAACATGTTGTTTTTTTGAAAGAGGAGGCAACAGAGCCATGCCGTAAATGACGCACACAAGGATACACACACATACGGACGGACGCACATACGGACACTCCAGACCACGACACACAGCTAAATCAAAGGAAGCTCCGCCTTGTGGGGAGGAGCCAAGAGGAGGGATTTTGGCAGTGCGCCGAAGCGCGCCACTGCGCGCCACTGCGCGCCGAAGCGCGCCACTGCACGCCAGAGTGCGCCACTGCGCGCCAGAGAGTGCGCCGGTGCGCTCCACTTCGTGCCACTTCGCGCCACTTTGCCCCACTTCGCGCCAGAGCGCGCCACTTCGCGTCACTGCGCACCACTTCGCGACACAACTCATCAGCAAGCGGCCAAGACCAGCTCTCAACTCAACTACCGTGAGAAGAAATCTACCACCGCGCACGCTACGAGCGAGCCGTGTGCGCCATCTACCGACGGGCCATCGCAACTACAGCAGCGTGTCGGCTCGCCAACCTACGTCAGCCGAAACAAAACAACCACGGTGACAGAAGAATCGACTGATACGCATGACGCGCACTGCCCCCCACCACACGACAAACCAGGCGTCTGTTTGACACAAAGAAGCAACTCCAAACACTGACTATTCAACACAATTTATATCCCTCACCCATACACGTGTTCTTAAACAAAAAGCCAATACTGAAGTCCGTAAACCACCAGTGGCCGTGAAGGCATCGCGGCAGACCGAGAACACTCCGTCGTTTATAAGTATATTCATAATTTTCCTCCTTAAAATTTTGTTTTGGGCTGTACTTCTAATCGCATGAATTACCAACCGATCCATCAATTCGAATTAATCCTTGACACCTTCGCCACGGAGCTACACTCACGTGGGGGAATAGCGTATCCAACCGGCTTCCTTATCAGGCGATCTGGTCCACAATTAATTAAACGTTGGCCCAAGATAAGGATATCAGGGGAGAGAGCGCACCCCACCGCACACCCTCACTCTAAGCCATTTCGGTAATCATATAATCTGTCCGATGGATCTGTTGATATATTTGTGCCTTTGGGAATAATAACTGTTTTGATCGCCTTTTGGTATGAATATCGTCATAAAATCTTTAAGTACCTTTCGTTACTGATCGCCGTAAGGAACTCGCGTACTCTACAGAATACTCTACCGTTCCGTGACCCAATGTGCTAACGTGATAAGGGTTGCTTATGGATCTATGAATGAACACGGTACTGTGTGAAAATTCCAGTATAATCTTTCATAATAGAGTATTAAGGTTTTTTTGTTTTGTTTAGATGTTTTAATGACTTTCTCTCACCGACTGCTCGCGTTACGTGGGGAATGAATCAATGTGCTGTTATCAAAGTGAAAAATCGCAGTCGTGGTGATACTGTGTTGATACTGTGTTGGAATTCCGAGCCGAGAGTTGTATCTTTTAGAGTTAAAGTTTAGTTAGAAATAAAATTGTTAAACGCAGAAGTGTTGTGTGTTTCTTTCCTGAATTATGCATAAGAACTGATGCTGCGTTGAGATCTGAACTTGGTGACCTTACATAAACACACTAATCCATACTCAATAAATGTTAAAGCGAGAATAATTGCACCACACTGATCGATAATACGAAGTTAAACAGCGAAGCCGAGTTTAATCTTACATGCTCACAGCACCTGCATAACTGCATACAAGTAATTGTATTATCGCGATTGATAACCGACCCTCGTCAACGAGGCGGGGCCTGATTATCATAAAGGCCGGCATTAACATAACCAAACCCACTCGCATAAATTAATATGGTTATCCCTCAAATTAGCATAATTTATGTGCACAATTATACAAATTAACCAAATTTCTGATAAATTATGCAAATTTCAATTAATTTTTATTATTTTCATCAAATTTTCATAACCCACATATACAACAAGAGTCTGGGGAATAAAGGTGCCAGGATTTGCCATCTGGTCAGGGTGCAGGGGTAAAATTGAACCCGAGTGAGCCAGCTCATCGGAGTATGGTCGTGAACTGTGCAGTGCAAGGCACCCTTCGTGACAAAGGTGACTTCACAATTCACTTTGACCCTTCGAGTGGCTGTTATGGGGAAAACCAACTCAGTGGATTTGTGGTAACGCGCTGCCAAATCTCGTGCACCGTTAAAAATCTGCACGCTGCCTTCAGCACCAGTTTTTGTGTGGCACAGAATTGAGTTCACTACCACGTGCCAACGCCTTTGTTCAGACGGTGGATGGACGCTACATTTTTCCTGCCCAAATAAAATGTCATTCAAATGGCAACGTAAGTGCACGTTGTTGGCAAGGTGCTCTCCCTACACTGAATGTAGAATGTCTCAGAAAACGTTGACTTAACAATTCCTGTAAAAAATGTTTTTTGACCATGAATTACACACAGGTACCAAGGACAGTGCAGTGAAGATGTGAGGGAGGTTGCATCATGCGAAAGGCATGCGAGAACCACGTGGAGACCCCATCACCTGTACGGTGACACTGTAGCTGAGATGTGTTTAATGAATTGAGAACTTCCATGATGCTCAACCAATAGGTTCCTTGTGCAAGCAAGTGTCCTCACGGTTGCGTTTCGTGGTTTGACACGTAGCGCGTTTTGCTCCATAACAAATCAGTGCAGCCTTTATCATCTGTTACGATGCCTACCACAGCACTCAGCTGGCAGCATTCACGTGTGGTGGCATTCATTAGTGGGGACAAAGGTAAGCACTATGCACTGTAAAACTATTTTTTTTTTATTATATAAAGAACACTGTACCCTTCTAAGGATAAAGAGTCAACACGGGTTACTGACTAACCATACGTCACACACTGCCTGACAAAGACTCCCTATCACACACCTTAAGAGATCCAAGCCTGTGATGGGGCTTTTAGCGGAACATTATTCTTGGAGTGATAAGACCCCAAAGTCGCAAAGGGCGGTTTTTAAACATTTGACATACCAGAATATCCTACCTTTGGGGATGCTTGCATCAACAATAATCACGTAATTCACTCTACTGCAATATGCATTATTCAAGGACACCAAGATAGGTGAACTTAACACGTAGGTTTTGGCAGCCAGCCGTTACATCCATGTTGATTTCTGGGTGAGAAATGTCCTCACCGTGACCTCACTAAAAAATATATTATGACTCACCATGGGCGGTACTGACGTTGGTCACTCGAATCAACCTCACCCCTGCTGGCGCCGGGCAGGTGCTTAAACAATGTTGTAGTGGGGGGCTAGCATGCTGGGGGACTCGTGTGCTGGGGGGCTCGGGTGCTGGGGGGCTCGCGCGCAGGGGGGCGGCACCGCGGAGGAAGGAGCAAGTGAGCGTGCGGCACGTACCACGTCTTGCGCTCCCTCCAGTGCGTCTTGATGATGCAGCGGAGGTTCTCCTCGATCACGAAGCGCTCCATGGCGTGGCTGCCAGGCATCACGGGGCCCTGTGCGTGGACGAGCGACCGCGGCCGTTAAAACCCCGCAACACATCTCCCATGATCATCGTGGTTCCCTACACAGTGCTCATACATGGAGCTTGTTCACGTCCCATTATAATACAGTACGAACTTAATGCATGATTAATAATTGGTTTAGGTCACATACGCAATGGAATGGCGGCTCATGAGGGGTGAAAAGAAGAATCGTCACATGTACACGCGTTCAACATGCAAATAATTATCGCTTCATCTCACCGGTAAGTTGGCCACATCATTACGGGGCTTAACCCAAAAATCAATTAAGTCATAACCTTGGCTGCGAAAACCCACGTGCCAAGTTCAAATGAACATCATTTATTTCCTAGGTAGGCCTCATGAGTGTGCCAAGACTTTTGTCAGGAGGGTCCTGCATTGGAACATTTTGCCATTGACCCTTCAAGCAGTGTCATGCGTATGGGAGGGAACCGGCAGCACCTCGGGAGCGTCCGTGTAGTCGAAGAGGCGGAAGATGACGTGCGGCTTGGGGTAGACGGAGTCCTGGCTGTGCGGCGGCGGAGTGAAGGGAGGCAGGTTGTGCTGCAGCGCCTCGCACAGCACGCTGTCGAACGCCAGGTACGGCCGCAGCAGGTGGCGCTCCTGCCAGCGGTCGCTGCGCATCTTCTGCGTCTGGGCCCACAGGCAGTCCAGGTACTGGCGGACGGCGGTGAGAGATGCACGCGCGAGGCGGCAACGGGCGGTCAGCCACCCATTCGTGATCATGCGACCACGCGCGCCCCCAGCACCGTCGACACCTGGGGCGCACGTTCTGCAGATGCGCGTGTGTGCGCGTGTCCCGTGCTCACGCAGTCGCTCAGTTGCTACAGCGCTTGAACGTTAGACAAGGCCGTAAAGAAGGCTGCTTCCGGTGTGTAGGCCAATCAGTTTCAAAGACAATGCGTATATTATCAGAGCCTGTTTGTTTGCATGTTTTTTCCACGACTACGAGTGGTCAATGTATACTTGATGCCTTGCAAAAGGTGTCTATTTGGTGTTTGAACATCTTAGCCCCTGTTTTATTTCCAGAAAGGGCAAAACCTATTCTTATTCCTGAATGTATATCCTCTCAAGACATAATTCTGAGAACCAAACCAATGTTGACAGGTGTTTGTCGAACTTCTTTCGTACCATACGTAGCCAACTGTGCTAATCGGCGGTGCGGGAAACAAACTCATAGTGGAGCTTTGTATCAGATGCAGTCCATGAGACATCAATCTACACACACATTTTTAAGTGGGGAAAAAACCTTGGAAGAAAATGCCATTCTTTTTTGAAAGACAGATGTGACACTAAATCAATATACGGCAACAGTGCTGCCGGCCTACTGTCAAAAACCGCGTGGCACCAGCCCACTCCACGAGGGCGCTTTCTACAACCGATCCTCACGTCACAGAGGTCGATGGTGAGAAAGTAGTCATTGTAATAGCAAATACAAGCAAAACTCAGTTCTGCTTCTCCACATATAAATATACACACACAAATACGTGTTTAGTCCATCAACCTACTGGCTTTCCAGGCCAATATTATCCAGCAGCATTTGCTGGGCCGGTTTTGACTTTCTGGGTCTGATCAGCAGCCAAGCTTGTTAAACAATTTCTACTGGGTTGTCAGATGTCATTGGAACGAGCATTTATTCGTAGGAGTATTGAAAAAACTAATATTTACGTTTTGTGAAGCATTATGGATAACTTGTCTCCAGATATTAAAATAAGTGTTTTTATTTTGTTTTACCAGTCAAATGGATTTATATATTTAAAAAACAAAATATGTTTCATTTGTTCTGCGAGAAAATAGATTTCTGCTCATAAATGTGAACTTATATCATAATTTCAAATGTAAAACTATTATTAAAAGTCTGATGAACAACAAATGAAACTGGTTATTTCGTTAATTACGAATTACCTTGCTGCCCTATCAACAATATGCAATGATGTGGTGCTAACGTCTCATGCTCAGCATCTGTGAATATTCTCAAGAAGACGGCCTTCAACTACCGCAGACTGAAGTCGTCTGTGAAACGCAGCGCTCTTGTGATAGCTCTAAGAGAACAGCGTGAATACCAAACAAACTCGAGAGTAGTGGGTTTGATGCCATGCGAGTAGGCAGCATGTCACACAGTTCGTGGGATGTGGGTGCCCACGTAGGCAGAGTGCAGGGGTCACCTCCTCCTGGGGGTGAGGCTTATCCGACGTCCACACCTGCAGCATGGGCATATGCAGCTTCTTCCTCTTCCTGCACACATGCGCACACACACGCAGATTGCTACTCCAACATCATCCCACCTCTGTCTCCCCAGTGCTGATGCTCGATTTATTTCTAGGCTGAGTCAACCTAAGGAAGGCCCAGACAGAAAATGCAATGGTGTGAATGATCAGGAAGTGTTCCTTTCTTTGGCTGCCAATACGTCGTGAATCTGGCCATCATTCCTTGTTGCGATGTGCCCTGCCTAAGCCCAGTTCCTTTCTGAATGGTCAATATTATGTTTAACTCGTGGATGTTGTCGAATCTGAGTAGCTTCTCCCTTCTCTGTTCCTCCAGTGTAATTCCAAGAAAAACACTTTTTTAATCAGTGTAAACAACAAATTAGGAAAACGGGCACTGACAAAGAAAAATGGAACACCGTCTGAAAAACGCGCAAAGAATCTCAGAGAGGAGGTGCGCGTCTCATGTCCCGTGCATCTTTAAATTGATCTCACAGCAACGTCGCGCAAGCCGACCAGAAGAGATGATCGGCAGCGCGCGGGTGGTACTCACTTAATGTAGGCCTCTATCTGGGTGAGGATGCGCTCCATCTCCACGTCTTTCTTCTCGTAGAGCTCTTTTCCCACCCAGGGCAGCGAGGACAGCACGGCGTACACGTACCAGTCGGAGCGCACCTGTGGCACGGACACGGGTGCGAGCGGGTGCCATCGAAGCCGGAACAAGAAATGTCACGCGCACGTGTAGCTTTGTGACGTTTTCCGAGTCGTCAAAAGTGATACCGAGCACGCGCTAGCACCGGAACCGCGGCCTCACCTGGGGGATCTCCTCCTCCTGCGTGACCGCCACGAAGTTCTCAAACATGGCGACGAGGGAGGGCGCCGCGATCACGTGGCAGTTCACCAGGTCGGCCAGGAAGCGCACCTGCAGAACGACAACATTGACTCTCCCTGTGGAACGACAACAGCAGCAGCAGCAGTAGCTGCAGCGTCCACGTGACTCTCTTGGAGGACGACGCAACACAAACACCAATAACTCTTCTCCTGTAAAGACGCAGACAGGCTGTGCAACAATAGTGAGGCTTTCTTTAAGTAGGAAAGACCTTTTAAAATCACAGTCAAAAATGCTTTAGTGACATCGCTGCAGTTGCATTGTATTCACTAGTATGGAAATTATGTTGCAGTGACATCACTATAATGCTGCCAGCTGCGATTTTAACAAAGCTTTACACTCGTGTCAGACAGGGCACGGGCACACAACCTAGATATGCAGCTATGAGTGGACTTGTACCTACGTGGAATTGTAAAGAACGTGTATGTGTTTGTGCCTTGACATCTCTCCACATACTGTGACACAAAACGTAAAACTGTTTCAATCTGCTTAAACGAGCATTGGGATGTTCACCACTGTTGGCAGCCCTGAGCCAATGGCGGAAATTCCACATTTCCATGGTGAGGGCCAGTCTAGTCACAAGAAAAACACTGCTGACTTATATCCCCAGGGGAATGATGCGCTAAGCTTATTCCCAGACATAATTCATGAAATGATCTATGTATAAAAATAGAACTGATGACCCAGGGATGATGTACCATCACCAGTTATTGCTGCCAAAACGAGTGGGGAAACAAAGACAAGAAATAAAATATAAGTTAGCCATGTTCAGATGAGTCATGTATGATGTGTGCCTCCTGTGGTCCTGCTACATGCCCTTGTGTTCAAAAGTATTCTCACATTTCTTTGGTCAATCCATCTCGCCTCAAACACTCAAGCACTAACTTCTCTTCTATAACCACGATGATGACATGGCAGGATGATTTCACTAAGGTCATGGAGACCACAACTCATAACGCAGCTCTTATTGTCACGACACATGGTACAGCAACAAAGCTGAGAATGCCATCGGCTTATTGAAGTTGTTTTAAACAGCGACTCACTCAATTGCGCAGCGGAAAGGCGAGCCAAAGGGCTCTGAATCATGGAAGTGACGCCGCGTCACTGCTGCTATGTTTGAGCAGTGGCACTGAGCCACGTACACCTCACTAGCGACGTGTGTCAGGGGCAAGCATCTGCAGGGACAGGAGGAGAAGCGCTCGGCACTCACGATGTAGAGAGAATCCGTGTAGTAGTTTCCCTTCAGCGCCTCCTTCAGCTGCCGCATCAGGCTCTCAACCAGCTCCCCGCCAAAGTTGTAGTTGCGAGCGTTGAGGAGACCCGACAGCGTGGTGTAGATGGTCAGCTTCTCAGGCAGCAGGCGAGCTCTGCACGCACGCACGCACACACGTGTACACATTCACACATCGATACCCAAACTCATACACGCACACAATCACTCGCAGCCCTGCACAGCCACACGGCTAATCACGGGATGACCTGATCAGTCTGATAGCTTCTGTAGTATTCTTAGTTTTTTCGGTAAAGTCACGTTGAAGAGAAACAACAAAATAACAAAATATATATAAAACAATAAAAAAAAAATTCTCACTACGTTTCGACCATAACTCAAACGTTATGGTCGAAACGTCGTGAGAATTTTTATTGTTTTATATATATTTTTTATTTTGTTGTTTCTCTTCAACGTGACTTTACCGAAAAAACTAAGAATATGAATTACTGCAGTCACGAAAGCTTTAAATCAAAATTTAAAAGCTTCTGTAGTGTTTACATATCTTTCATATCAAACCTCACAGTTGAGTTTAATTTCCGATAACTCAATAACGCACGTCACATTTCCTGTAGATATTATTTTAACCAAAGCGTTCACTCTGTTTTTCACCGACCAGAGACAAAAAAAAAGTTGGAATCTATATCGAGTTGCACAGATCACATTCAGTAGGAATTCTCCTTCGTTTGCCATTTAAAATCACTGGCCGCTGGTAAAAGCGTAGAGTGAAGTGGAGAGGCGATGAACCCCCACGTCGAATAGGAAGAGAGAGGAAGTCACCCCCATCCGCCCTGTTGTGGTGGGCGCTGTGTGGGGTGGTTGGCGTGGGTTGGCCTTACACAGCGGTGAGGATGCGCAGGATTTTGCTCTTGTAGTTGGGCAGGTCGGCCTCCAGCACGCCCGCGAGACCCTCCAGGTTGCTCTCTAGAGAGGAGGTGCTCTGCAAACAAAACCGTCAAAACACTGTAAACAACACAGCTGTCACGCTGAACAGACAGAAGTAATACAGCACATCTGGAGGTGAGGGTTGATGGATCACCATCTTCTGGCTTGCCAGGGTATGGCAGTACAAAAAGCGGAGTGACATGTTCTGTCGAAGCCCACTTAAGCATCTAAATTATGCCTTTTAACTTGTGTATAGTCTTATCCATCTCTATCAGGCACGTCTGATTAGCATGTCTAATCACACTCAGTGCAGGAAGTTGGATTCACGTTGGGACATGGTGAGATTGATCAGAAATTCCTGGTCCGGCTCTTTTGAGCTGCAGGAATTGACACCAACTTCCAAAAAACAAGCGCATGTGGTCTTGTCTCAATACGAGGCTAACGTCAGGAACTTCCACGTAATCATATCAAAATAACTCAGTATATGACACCTTGATGAACATCAACAGCCCAGGCCACAGCAGACAGTGCTGCAGTGGTAGGGTGGAGTGGTAGGGTGGAGTGGTCGGGTGGAGTGGTAGGGTGGAGTGGTTGGGTGGAGTGGAAGGGTGGAGTGCTTGGGTGGAGTGCTTGGGTGGAGTGCTTGGGTGGAGTGCTTGGGTGCAGTGGAAGGGTGGAGTGGTAGGGTGGAGTGGTCGGGTGGAGTGGTAGGGTGGAGTGGTAGGATGGAGTGGTCGGGTGGAGTGGTCGGGTGGAGTGGAATGATAGAGTGGAATGATGGAGTTGTAGGGAGGAGTGGTCGGGTGGAGTGGAATGATAGAGTGGAATGATAGAGTGGAATGATGGAGTGGTAGGGTGGAGTGGAATGATAGAGTGGAATGATGGAGTGGAATGATGGAGTGGTAGGGTGGAGTGGTCGGGTGGAGTGGTCGGGTGGAGTGGAAGGGTCGAGTGGAGCAGCTCATGAGGGACAGGGGGACCAGTCTGAGGGGGCCGCACCTTCTCCCCGACGCGGCAGATGAGCGACTCAAGCCGGTCCTCGATCTTCATGGGCTCAGAGGTCCGCCTCCGCTTGTGCTGGTTCGCTCCTGCACACACAAACGTACGTCAGACATAAATCACACATTCGCACACGTATACACAAAGATAAACACAAACTAATCACACATACCCACAGTCATGCTCCTCTATCCCTCTGAATGAGTTCAAACCTCAGCCCTCTTAATAATTTCATTCACCTCTCCCTCTGAATTAGTGAACTTTCACGCCTCTCTCTGAACGAGTGAACTTTCACTTCTTCTCCACCTCCTCAGACAGTTAAAACTTCACCCCGCCGGCCCCTCTCCCGTGCCCCACGCCCCTCGACTCTACCGTCGTCATCGTCGTCGTCGATCTTGCGCCTGCGAGACATCTTGGTGGCTTCGGCAGGGAAGACCGCGAGGCCGCTGTGCAGAGGATTGCGCTGCCGGAGCGGTGAGCGCGGAGATTGGTGTGACGGGGGGATGAGTTGGAGGTGAAAGTGAGGGAACTGCAGGTGATGGAGCTGGAGGTGAGAGTGAATTGGAGAGCAGAGCGAGCGAGGGGAGAGAGTGAATGAGAGAGAGGAGTGAGTGAGAGTGAATGAGAGAAGAGTGATGGAGCTGGAGAGTGAATGAGAGAGAGAGAGAGGAGTGAGGGGAGAGGAGAGTGAATGAGAGAGAGAGGAGTGAGGGAGCTGGAGAGTGAATGAGAGAGAGAGGAGTGAGTGAGGGGAGAGTGAATGAGAGAGAGGAGTGAGTGAGAGGAGAGTGAATGAGAGAGAGAAGTGAGTAAGAGGAAAGTGAATGAGAGAGAGATGAGTGAGCGAGGAAACTGGAGGGGAAACGCGCGCGGCCACCACGGCGCGGGGAGCCCTCACACGTTCCGGGTCAGACGGAAATCGCCGCAATCGCTTCCGGGTCAATGGAGAACGACCGCGCGACTGTTTCCAGGTTGAGGATCAAACGGAAACGCGCGCGGGTAGGGGGCGGTGCTTCCCCCTGGGGGCGGTGCTTCCCCCTGGGGGCGGTGCTTCCCCCTGGGGGCGGTGCTTCCCCCTGGGGGCGGTGCTTCCCCCTGGTGCCAGCTCGGAGGTTTTTTTACCTCCAGGCTTCCGGGGTGACGCTGCAGGCACGCGGTGCCGGCGCCACTTGGAGGCGAAGGGAGCGCATCGAGGGGCCCATCACCAAAGCCATCGACCTCTGGATGCCAGTGAGGCAATGATGGGCCTCCTGGGCTGTTTTTCCACTCGCATTGGACCGTGTAAACTCTGCAGTTTCATCGGCCAGTTTGGGAAATTTGGGATGGGGAAATGTCAAAATCTGAATATTTATACTGAAAGAATCCGATGAGCTATAAAGCTCTTTTCCACATATGTCCAGTCGGGGCGGGTAAGAACGTTACACCAACAAACTACAAAACACGATAGGAGTGTGAGGTACAAGAAAGGTAAACAATTGACCTAAACACATACAAATACAACACTAAACCATCCCCATCCTACCAGACAAATCCTCCTGAGGCATCAAGTTATTGTTCAAAAGCGACCTGGCCACAAATGATGGCTAAACAAAGTGGACTGTCATTTGGACATTTATAGCAGCAAAATAATCGTAATTTTTTAAACGCGCGTTTTCAAACGTGGAGGGGAAAATGTCTTTCGCGTGGTACAATATTTGCAGCCTTGCGTCTCAATGGGCGCTGACACGGCGACGTTTTAAAACTCGCGCCACCTCGGTCTGCGTCGTCAAAGTCAACCCCCTCGATCCCCTTCGCAGGGTGGATAAGTGGCCACTGGTGAGAGCGCACGTGCCGTCGCCGTCCCAGCGTGCATGGGGAAAGGCAATGTGGGTGCAGCTTACACCGCATAGCACGACACAAGAATGTCTACCCTGTCGAGTAAGGTGGACGGACACATTCTGAGTCGCAGACTTTATTTTGTGATCCACATTTACCCCGAATAAAGATGAAGTCCCTCGTCGGGGCCGAGAGAGGGCAGTGCAGTCATGGGCCATCACACCACGGGTGTGACGCGGGAGGTCCCCGGCTCGCTTCGCAGACGAGAAAAATAATGCGGTATAATGAATAGTTAAGTTTAAATTATTTACCATATTGGACATTCTGATTAATATTATTATTTTCGTGCAAACTTTAATTATTAATTAAAATTGTTCTGCCCACCTGGGCCTTAAAGCTTTTTCCGAGTTCTGCTTCACGAGTGAATTCTGAGATCCGACACTGCAGCATCTGCAGATGTTGTTGTTGCAGCAGCTGTTGTTGTTGCAGCATCTGCAGCTGTTATTGTTGCAGCACCTGCAGCTGTTGTTGTTGCAGCAGCAGCTATTGTTGTTGCAGCAGCAGCAACTGTTGTTGCAGCAGCTGTTGTTGTTGTTGCAGCAGCAGCTGTTGTTGCAGCATCTGCAGATGTTATTGTTGCAGCAGCTGCAGCTGTTGTTGCAGCAGCAGCTATTGTTGTTGCAGCAGCAGCAACTGTTGTTGCAGCAGCTGTTGTTGTTGCAGCAGCAGCTGTTGTTGTTGCAGCAGCAGCTGTTGTTGCAGCAGCTGTTGTTGATGCAGCAGCAGCTGTTGTTGTTGCAGCAGCTGTTGTTGTTGCAGCAGCAGCTGTTGTTGTTATTGCAGCAACAGCTGTTGTTGTTGCAGCAGCTGTTGTTGCAGCAGCAGCTGTTGTTGTTGTTGCAGCAGCTGTTGTTGTTGCAGCAGCTGTTGTTGTTGCAGCAGCAGCTGTTGTTGTTGCAGCAGCTGTTGCTGTTGCAGCAGCAGCTGTTGTTGTTGTTGCAGCAACAGCTGTTGTTGTTGCAGCAGCTGTTGTTGTTACAGCAGCTGTTGTTGCAGCAGCAGCTGTTGTTGCAGCAGCAGCTGTTGTTATTGCAGCAGCTGCAGCTGTTGTTGTTGCAGCAGTAGCAGCTGTTGTTGCAGCAGCTGCTGTTCAGCAGCTGTTGTTTCAGCAGCAGCTGTTGTTGTTGTTGCACAGATGCCACCAGCCCCGGGCCCGGTCAAAGCCGCGATGCTGCTCCACGTGGGTGGTGGTGGTGGTGTCATCTTACACAGCCGCTGCTGCGAAGCTGACAACCCACACGGGTTACCCCGCATTCTTGTACAGGGACATTGAGTTTTGAGGTCCATAGGCGTATAGCCATTTCAATACGGACAACAAAATGTGTCTATTTGTGTTTCTCCCTTGTGATGGGACTTTGTAGGATGAGCGTTGTGATTTATAAGGGGCACGGGGGTGACCAATACGGTCTGAATTGGTCTAATTGGGGCAGTGATAAGGGGTTGACAGCGATGGTGGTGTTAGGTGTGGACCTCAGTTCACTTGATTGAGCATTCACTTCCAGGCATCGTTCGGGAGCCCGTGAGCCGCTTCAATAACACCGGGACAGCTCGGTGCCGATCCACTGCTGGATGATGAAGGCCTCCCCGCTCCTTACCCAGGCATAAACCTCATCCTCCTCATGCACGCATCTCCCGATGGAGCTCTCTGTGTGCTGCAGCGCTTTGTGCGGGGAGCGGTGGCGCAGCAATTAGTGCACCGCGCTGCGAACCCGGTGACCCCAGCTCGAATCCCGCTCACGGCCACCACCACCACCACCAGCGGTGACGATTATCTGAACCGGTCCTGGGCCACCCCTAAGTCGGCTCAACCTCAAATGAAGTACCTGATGCGGTGTGCATTATAAAAAAGCCACTAGGGAGACAAAGGCGGCCGTGTGTGGTACTGGCAACCCAGCCCCCTCGTGTGACACAGTGCCGGCCTTCATCGGTGCAACTCGCTAACACAGCACTTGCCCCTGCAGTGTGTAGAGGCCACACGGGGGAGCTTTGTCTGTGTGCGGGTCGATTCTGATGCCGGGCCCCCCCCCACTCCCGCACTGTAACCCGCACTGAAGCATCGTCGCTGAGAAATCCACGAAACGAACATCGACTTCTTGAACAACAACAACTACAGCAGCAGCAGTAGCAACAACATCGACTACAGCAGCAGTAGCAACAACGACTTACAGCAGCAGTAGCAACAACAACGACTACAGCAGCAGTAGCAACAACAACAACATCGACCCGGGGCTTGCACAGAGACCAAGCCAAGCTGCCGTGGCGCTGGGCGGCTTCGCGAGGCTCGCGGCCCCAGGCTTCAAGGTTCAACTTCTCTCTCTCTCAGGCCCCAGGCTTCAAGGTTCAACTTCTCTCTCTCTCAGGCCCCAGGCTTCAAGGTTCAACTTCTCTCTCTCAGGCCCCAGGCTTCAAGGTTCAACTTCTCTCTCTCTCTCAGGCCCTGGAGACGACTCGAACCGCTCCTCGTAGTTGCGGGGCTGCGTGGCCGCTCGCCATGGACCCGGGCGCCGCCGCGGAGCTGAGGAGCGATCGGAGACGCGCGCGGCGGACGGTGAGAAAGGCAGCACCTGGCTCGGTGCTGAGTGTGTCACTGTGTCTCTGTGTGTCTCTGTGTTGAGTGTGTCTTTGTGTGTCTGTGTGTGTCAGTGTGTCTCTGTGTGTGTGTCTCTGTGCTGAGTGTGTCAGTGTGTCTGCGTCTGTCAGTGTGTCTCTGTGTGTCAGTGTGTCTCTGTGTGTGTCAGTGTGTCTCTGTGTGTGTCTTTGTGTGTGTCTCTGTGCTGAGTGTGTCAGTGTCTCTGTGTGTCAGTGTGTCTCTGTGTGTCTCTGTGTGTGTCAGTGTGTGTCAGTGTGTTTCTGTGCTGAGTGTGTCACTGTGTGTCTGTGTGTGTCAGTGTGTCTGTGTGTGTGTCTGTGTGTGTCTCTGTGCTGAGTGTGTCTTTGTGTGTATCTCTGTGCTGAGTGTGTCAGTGTCTCTGTGTGTCAGTGTGCCTCTGTGTGTGTCAGTGTGTGTCTGTGTGTCAGTGTGTGTCTCTGTGTGTCTGTGTGTGTCTCTGTGCTAAGTGTGTCAGTGTCTCTGTGTGTCAGTGTGTCTCTGTGTGTGTCAGTGTGTGTCTGTGTGTCAGTGTGTGTCTCTGTGTGTGTCTCTGTGCTGAGTGTGTCAGTGTGTGTCTGTGTGTGTTTCTGTGCTGAGTGTGTCAGTGTCTCTGTGTGTCTCTGTGTGTCAGTGTGTGTCTCTGTGCTGTGTGTGTCAGTGTCTCTGTGTGTGAGTGTGTCACTGTGTCTCTGTGCTGAGTGTGTCAGTATGTGTCTGTGTGTCTCTGTGCTAAGTGTGTCAGTGTCTCTGTGTGTCTCTGTGTGTCTCTGTGCTGAGTGTGTCAGTGTCTCTGTGTGTCAGTGTGTCACTGTGTCTCTGTGCTGAGTGTGTCAGTGTCTCTGTGCTGAGTGTGTCAGTGTCTCTGTGTGTCTCTGTCTGTCAGTGTGTCACTTTGTCTCTGTGTGTCAGTGTGTCTCTGTGTGTCTCTGTGTCACTGTGTGTCTCTGTGTGTCAGTGTGTCACTGTGTCTCTGAGCTGTGTCTCTGTGTGTCAGTGTGTCTCTGTGTGTCTCTGTGTGTCAGTGTGTCTCTGTGTGTCAGTGTGTGTCAGTGTGGCTCTGTGTGTCACTGTGTCTCTGTGTGTCAGTGTGTCTCTGTGTGTCAGTGTGTCTCTGTGTGTCAGTATGTCTCTGTGTGTCATTGTGTCTCTGTGTGTCTGTCTCGGTGCTGAGTGTGTCAGTATCTCTGTGTGTCTGTCTCTGTGCTGAGTGTGTCTCTGTGCGTGTCTGTGTCTGTGCTGAGTGTGTCAGTGTCTCTGTGTGTCTGTCTCGGTGCTTAGTGTGTCAGTGTCTCTGTGTGTCAGTGTCTCTGTGTGTCTGTCTCTGTGCTGAGTGTGTCTCTGTGCGTGTCTCTATCTGTGCTGAGTGTGTCAGTGTCTCTGTGTGCGTGTCGGTGCTGAGTGTCTCTCTGTGCGTGTCTGTATCTGTGCTGAGTGTGTCGGTGTCTCTGTGTGCGTGTCGGTGCTGTGTCTCTGTGCGTGTCTGTATCTGTGCAGAGTGTGTCGGTGTCTCTGTGTGTGTCTGTGCTGAGTGTCTCTCTGTGCGTGTCTGTATCTGTGCTGAGTGTGTCGGTGTCTCTGTGTGTCAGTGTCTCTGTGTGTCTGTCTCTGTGCTGAGTGTGTCTGTCTCTGTGTGTCTGTCTCTGTGCTGAGTGTGTCTCTGTGCATGTCTGTATCTGTGCTGAGTGTGTTAGTGTCTCTGTGTGCGTGTCGGTGCTGAGTGTCTCTCTGTGCGTGTCTGTATCTGTGCTGAGTGTGTCTGTCTCTGTGTGTCTCTGTGCTGAGTGTGTCTCTGTGCATGTCTGTATCTGTGCTGAGTGTGTCAGTGTCTCTGTGTGTCTGTCTCTGTGCTGAGTGTGTCTCTGTGCATGTCTGTATCTGTGCTGAGTGTGTCAGTGTCTCTGTGTGTCAGTGTCTCTGTGTGTCTGTCTCTGTGCTGAGTGTGTCTCTGTGCGTGTCTGTCTGTGCTGAGTGTGTCAGTGTCTCTGTGCGTGTCTGTGTCTGTGCTGAGTGTGTCAGTGTATCTGTGTGTCAGTGTCTCTGTGTGCGTGTCGGTGCTGAGTGTCTCTCTGTGTGTGTCTGTCTCTGTGCTGAGTGTGTCTCTGTGCGTGTCTGTATCTGTGCTGAGTGTGTTAGTGTCTCTGTGTGCGTGTCGGTGCTGAGTGTCTCTCTGTGCATGTCTGTATCTGTGCTGAGTGTGTCGGTGTCTCTGTGTGTCTGTCTCTGTGCTGAGTGTGTCTCTGTGCGTGTCTGTATCTGTGCTGAGTGTGTCAGTGTCTCTGTGTGCGTGTCGGTGCTGAGTGTCTCTCTGTGCGTGTCTGTGTCTGTGCTGAGTGTGTCAGTGTCTCTGTGTGTCTGTCTCTGTGCTGAGTGTGTCTCTGTGCGTGTCTGTATCTGTGCTGCGTGTGTCAGTGTCTCTGTGTGTCAGTGTCTCTGTGTGTGTGTCGGTGCTGAGTGTCTCTCTGTGCGTGTCTGTATCTGTGCTGAGTGTGTCAGTGTCTCTGTGTGCGTGTCGGTGCTGAGTGTGTCTCTGTGCGTGTCTGTATCTGTGCTGAGTGTGTCGGTGTCTCTGTGTGTCAGTGTCTCTGTGTGCGTGTCGGTGCTGAGTGTCTCTCTGTGCGTGTCTGTATCTGTGCTGAGTGTGTCGGTGTCTCTGTGTGCGTGTCGGTGCTGAGTGTGTCTCTGTGCGTGTCCTTATCTGTGCTGAGTGTCGGTGTCTCTGTGTGTCAGTGTCTCTGTGTGCGTGTCGGTGCTGAGTGTGTCTCTGTGCGTGTCTGTATCTGTGCTGAGTGTGTCGGTGTCTCTGTGTGTGTCTGTGCTGAGTGTGTCTCTGTGCGTGTAGTGTCGGGGTGCGTCTTGTGAGTGTCTGCATGTGTGTTTCTGTGGTTGAATGTCTCAGTGTTGTCTCTTGTGAGACGAAATATCTCAACACGCGGACCAACTCGATAACACCATACTTGCAATACGTGAATTCCTTAACCACGCGGAGACACTCGCGTGTAAACATCTCCACTAGGGAGACAAAGGCGGCCGGGCGTGGTGCTGGCCGCCCACCCCCTCGTGTGCCATGCCGGCCTTTATAGGTGCTCGCAAACAGCACTTGCCCCTAGATTATGTTAAGGCTACACGGGGGGCTCTTTTGTTTGTGAGTGTTGATGGCACTGCCCGTGTCTGCGCAGGCGTTCGGCCTCTACGTGGAGACACTGCGCGTGCCCGGGCCGGGTGGAGAGTGGCGCTGCTGCGGACAGACGTTCGTGCAGCGCGGGGAGGTTCATCGCCACGTGGGGACGCACCACGCAGCCGCCGCCGCCGCCGCTGCTGCTGCTGCCACTGCTGCCCGGCGCGACGCCCCCCAGCTCGAGTGGCGGCTCACCCCTGGAGCTCTCCGTGACAGTTCCAGCGCTCGGGCAGCAGGAGAGGGCGACAGGCGAGCAGAAGATGAAGACGAGGAGGAGGACGCCAGGGGTGAAGATGCAACGATGGACGTGCCATGGCTGCCAGACATCACCGCCCTGAATCTGGATTCACACCCTGGGTGAGTGAGTTGGAGGGTTATTTGGGAATAGCGCACTACAGGACCGGTTCAGGTTTCACTCGCTGTATTAGCCGTGACCACGAATCGTACTCTGGTCAGTGGGTTCATACTCACCTAACCACTCTGCCACTGCACCAAATACACCTAGAGTTATAATAAACTACAAGTGCACACTTTATTGTGGTGGTTCAAGGTAGGACCGGTCCTAACAGCCTTTTCCATCGATGTTAGCCGTGGGTGGTATTGGAACTCGCATCGCCGGGTTCACAGCGGAGTGCCGCCGCCCTCCGTACCGCTGCGCCACTGCCGCCGTGATTGAAGCTGTCCACCTGTGGGCCGGTTGTCGCGAGCAGAGAGGAGGGCGAGGTGCTCCTCTTCTACCACTACTGCGACGTCGCCGCCCCCCGCGCGCTCTGCCGCTGGCAGAGGACGCTGTGCGAGCGCCTACAGCTCACGGGGAAGGTAACCGCTCGCCCGCCGTCACCGCCGGGCCCCGGTCGCGTGGAGCTCGCGCCCTGCCTCGCGCCGTCTTGTCTCGTCTTGCGCGGTCAGTGGAGGGCGACAGAGAAGGTGCTACTATGTGGAGGTGGCCGAATGGCTCAGGGGGCCTGGAATGGACCTGACTCGGACCTGAGCCGGCACCCGCGAGGTCCTGCACCTGTGTCCTGGTCTCATCCACCGATGATAAAGTGTAAAGACTTGATGGTCCAAGCCTCGTTTCTAACGACCCTATAACAAATACATTATTTCTGATTTGTCACTAAATTCAGCTTATATCAGCTGTGAGTACTAAGCCATTCAGTGTGATGACAATTTAAAGAGAACACGTTTATATCTTTCTCAAACAAGAGTGTAGAGGGAGGCTGTGTCCTGCTCGCCATGTGAGTGGCTGTGTGTGAGTGTAGAGGGAGGCTGTGCCCTGCTCGCCATGTGAGTGGCTGTGTGAGCGGAGAAGGAGGCTGTGCCCTGCTCGCCGTGTGAGTGGCTGTGTGTGAGAGGAGCGGGAGGCTGTGCCCTGCTTGGGGTGTGAGTGGCTGTGTGTGAGTGGAGCGGGTGGCTGTGCCCTACTTGGAGTGTGAGTGTAGTAAGAGGATGTGCCTTGCATGCCGTGTGAGTGGCTGTGCATGAGTGGAGCGGGTGGCTCTGTCTGCAGGTGCGCTTGGCCAAGGAGGGCCTCAACGGGACAGTGGGCGGCATGCGTGCAGCCACACGGGCGTACGTGCAGGCCGTGCTGGCTCACCCGGCCCTCAGGGGCATGACCCTGGACGACTTCAAGGCACGGTCTCTCGCTTCGTGACGTCGAGGCAGCACAACTCTCATCACACCAACACCGCGTCGCTCCACATTAGCTGGGCAGGCTTTGTTGTTCCATCAGTGAACCTGAGCACAACCCTGCGGGAAGTCTAGACCACTTGGGACGTGCATCAAAAATTCCAAATCGTCTCTCCGCTCAAACAAGCATGGGGTGGTGCTCAGCTCCTTTTATCGTTCTGAGCCAGTGGCTTAAAATTCTGGATTCTTATGGCAGGGGGCATTGGTTATATCAGAGAACCGCTGTTGTCTTCCCACAAAGCAGCACTCCTCCTCGTACTGACCCTGGAGGCATGGTGGGTCGAGTCAGCCCCCAACCAGGATTTCAACTCGGACGCATCTGATTGCAAATCATGAATTCCACGCGGTCTGTTTTCCATGCTGATATTTGAAAATATCCGTTGCGTGTGCCTCAGCTGTACAGTCAAACGAGAAAATGTTGCCCCCTGCGAAGTGAGAAACGGATCGTGGTGTTTCCTGGTGCCACAGAGCAGCCCGGGCGGCGCTCGCTGCTTCGCGGACCTCCGCGTAGCCGTGCACCAGGAGATCGTGCCCCTGGGTCTCAGCCCCCAGGCCGTGTCCCACCTTGATGCAGGTCAGAGGTCACGCAGCTCCCCCACCCCCCCACTGGTGTGCGTCTTCGGCGTCGGGCGTGGGCCGCTCGCGTGGAGCCGTCCCCCATCCCTCCTCCCCGTACGTTGTCGTGGTGCGGGGGATGCACGAAAGTGGAACGTGTGTAGAACCACCTTCTGAATGTCCACTGATCCCTTCACGCAGGGAACTCAACACATTCCTCCATAACAAAGCTTAAAAGGAAACATAATAGGTAACGTTTTGGGCGATGGCCCTTTTTCATAGTACGTTGTGTTAAGATAGTCTGCGTTAGACTTTGGTTTAATTAGTGTAGGAATATAAAACGATCATTAGGGCTGGATATCAGCCAGCCTTGAGGTTATTTGCTCATTACCGAGTCACTATGCTGGGCGCCTCTGTTTTATTGAGGCAGACCCCGCGAGTCTCGAGCTTTAGCGTGTCGTACGACTCGTCCGAGAGTCGTTTGGATGGTGACCGTGCGCCCGTGACCGTGCGGACGGGCGGGCGAGCAGGGCGTCGTCTCTCACCGGAAGAGTTCCACGAGGAGGTGCAGGCGCTACTGGGACGGGACGCGGCGGAGAGCGGCGGCGGCGGCACGCTGCTGCTCGACTGCCGCAACTTCTACGAGAGCAAGATCGTAAGTGAGACGGCTGACCTTGTGGTGTTGCCGCCGCCACGAGGCGCGGCATGGTTGGAGCCGCCACCGTTAGAATACCAATGCTTCTCACTTTGCTCATCGGTCAGACGGCAGTTGGTGGCACGATATAGAATGTTGCGAGTTCAAATCCCGGTGAGGGGTTGCCTCGGCCTATCATCTCTGGGGTTAATCGAATGATTACCACTAAATTGGAATTGAGCAGTTAAATGTGAAACTTTCACCGATAAATGCTTCCCATTGTTCATCTAAATGCCGCTGTGGTTATGGCGGTGGTGGCGGTGGTGGCGCTGTGGCAGGGCCGCTTCCGCGGGAGCGTGGCGCCCGACATCCGCAAGTTCAGCTACTTCCCCGAGTACGTGGACCGCAACTTGGAGCTGTTCCGTGGCAAGCGCGTGCTCATGTACTGCACGGGTGGCGTGCGCTGCGAGCGCGGATCGGCGTACCTGCGCTCCAAGGTAAGGGCGGCGCGTTGAACACCGCGGCACCGCGCGGTACGGCCACGGCGCACGTGTGGAGCGGAGAGCACAGGGGTGAGCGCACGGCGTGATGAAGATGGTGCCGAGGGAGTGCGTGTGCACGCGATGGGGATCGTGAATATTATCACGACGGCGAGTTTGCACACGTCAGCTAGTGTGCCGTGCGGACTTTCATCGGTGCTACTCGCTAACGGCACTCGCCTCAGCAGTCTGTTGAAGGCTACACGGGGGATCTGTGTCTTTGTGGTGCCAGGGCGTGTGCCAGGATGTGTGCCAGCTGCAGGGTGGCGTCCACCGCTACCTGGAGCGCTTCCCGCAGGGATTCTTCCGGGGGAAGCTGTTTGTTTTCGACGAGCGATACGCCATCAGCTCTAACGACGACGTCATTGCCTGTGAGTAGCCCGGATTCTCTCCATCGCACTTCCCCGCTCCTTCTGCTCTGTCCGTGCATGAGAGTGGTTTTACCGTGTTACATCATCTCAGTGAACCTCTGACTTGTTTACTGCTAATGACAAGGCCAGAACCAGATCAGTATATTCAACTTGACCAACATGGTTATTACAGAAATACAGATTGTCTGGTAGTGTTGGTGGTATTGATGATTTTGGCGATACTGGTAATAACAGTGAAGGTGGTGATGCAGCTGTTGATAATGCTAGTTGTGATGATACTTGTCATAATTTAAGGTCGCGATGATGTTGGTGATAGTGAAGTTGATGGTGGCGGTGATCGTCATGAAAGTGGTGGTAGCAATGCTGCTGACATTTGTAGTGATACATACGGGTGCGAACGGTGAAGTTGGTGATTCTAACGATGATGATGGTAATGAAAGTCATGATGGTGCTTGTGACGGGAGTGAATATGAAGGTGTTAATGGTAGCAAAGGTGGTGGTGATGATGGTTATTGTCGTGAAGGGTGGTGGTGGCAGTACAGCTGATGTTTTATTAGTGATGGTGGTTATTTGTGAACATACAATCATCATCAGTAATGGCAATTCCACTGCTGGATGGTGTTACCATCATGATCCTGTGATGTGCAATGAAATTATGACAGTAATGACGATGGTAAAGATGGTAATGATGGTAGTGGGGATGAATATCTGAACTGGTCCTGGGCCTCCCCTACGTCGCCTCAGCCTTATATGAGTACCTGGTGCAATATGTCAACATCGCCACTCAGGAGACAAAGGTTCCCAGGCGTGGTGCTGGCCACCCACCCCTTCAAGTGCTGTGCCGACCTTAAAAGGTGCTGCTCGCTAACAGCACTTGCCCCAAGAGTCTGTTAAAGGCTCTACGGGGGATATTTGCCTTTGGTGGGGTATTGATGATGACAGTAGCGAGCGCGTCCATGACTTGAACGTGTGTGGTGCTGCGCTTGCAGCGTGTGTGTACTGCGGGCGGCCGTGGGATGAATTCCGCCTGTGCAGCACGCGTGCCTGCCGCCAGCTGGTGCTGTCGTGCGAGCCGTGCCGGTCGACCGGCCTCACCGCCTGCTGCCGGCCGTGCCAGGACAAGGCTGGCGCTGCCCCGGCGCGGACGGCGGGAAGGCCCCCGGAGGAGTGCGCGTGTACCGCACGCAGGGAGCGCGCTCCACTACACGCCCAGTCGGAGAGTGACCACTCGCCCACCCACTGACCGCTCACCCACATGCCAGCTGACCACTCACCTGCCCGCTTACCCACCCACACGCCCCTGACCACTCACCTGCCTGATGATCACTCGTCTACCCGCTAACCACCATCTGCCTGCTTTTCTATACACAGAAAAGCCTCGCCATGTCTCAGTACTTTGTTGTAGCGGGATCTTGTGTTGGGACGTTTGCTGAATTCCTTGAGTGATTTGCAAAATCAGAATACCCTGCAAAACCCAGGAATACGAGGATGTAACACTAAAAATCAACAGGGACTGGTCGGGAACCCACTTGGTGTACTACCTTGTGGTATGGCCAAGTAATCTATCGGACAGTTAATTGATTTCCTGGTATAAAATGAAATAAATGTACAACGAAGTGAGCATATTAATAAACATTTTACTTTAATCGATTTGTAGCTGAATTTTACGAATCGTGGTGTTGAAAACTTTTGGGGAAAAATTAAATGTTGAAGCCGAATCTGTTTTTGAGTTCTTGGTGTGACGTTTTATGCGCAGTGTTTTCGCTACAGGCGCGATGATTACACATCACAAATACAGATATAACACGAGGGTATCGCCAATTTATAATAATTTATAATTAAACAGCCTTTGCAACTGCACGGTTGAAATGCTAGCAACATATTCCCTAACACCTCGGTCACGATGCAAGCATGGTGCCATCGGTGGAATGCAGCCCTCTCCAGCGCCACCAATGGCACCACCGTCGGCCCGGAATGCGTCATCATCACCACACCGCTATGATCGGAGTCTCGATGATGAAGATGCGGCGATTTTGTAATCAAAGTTAAGAGGACGCTCATTGTTTCCGCTGAAAAGGTGGAGTGGACCTTAACCTTGTGGTGTTTATCACCACGGAAGAGATGTTCCATCTTGCATACCAATCAATATAGCGAAGACTCCTCGGTTAAAGTGATGACACGGTTGAAATTTTTGACACAAAAAATACCGACAAACTTCCGATTGCAGATGGCCACACATCCCAATATACGGCCACAGTACTTGGGCAATGTGTTGGCGCCAGTTTTGGCTGCCTTCCCAAGCACTTGTGTGTTTTCTCACGTCCATAGGCAGAGTTTGACTTGTATATTTGGACCGGACAGGGGTTCGCTTTGTCCCTCACATTAGAAAGCGTGGGTGAATATCATTTGTTTCTTTGTAATCTTAATTGTAAACTACTAAAAATAAATCAATAAAGGTGTCCAGTTTGGACGGCGTTGCCAAACCGTGCCCCCCCCCCACAAACTCCGCCCATGTCCGCGCCTCTAAATCATTCTCTTCAGAGTGAACGTAATCGGTTCAGATTTGTTCCTGTGTGGAAAACAATGAGGGGATTTGTGCACGTGCGGTAAAGTGACGAGAGCCCGACATCCTCTCCGCGGGATTCTGAGCCCTCGTCCCCAACACCGTGTCTCTCTCCTGCGGTCTTCAGAGCTCCAGTTTCTCCACGGCATCCACAAAGATCAGAATCTCGCGCATCGAGCTGAAACCCATGTCCCTCTTGAGGCTCCGGAAGAAGAATTCAGGAGACTGAAATTAGAACACGCACAAGAAAGATGAGAGGTTGGAGGTGAGCTTCGAGTTGAAGAACCTCCCTGCTCAAATGAGCGATGGGGCGGCACTCCTCTCTGTGGGGGGCCCCGAGTATGTAGTAGGGCCCAGCCGCTCGATGACCAATGCTGATTCTCCACAATGTGGGGTTTGTTTTATTGACCCGGTCAAGGAAGACAGGCGTGTGAAACTCGAGTGAAACACTCGATCTGAAGTAAGGTGGACCACTGGCACGGCTCCTTCCAAATGATTTTGGTAAGAGGCCGGCGCAGCGTGCGCATGTTCTATACGAGAACAGAGAGGAGGTGGAGGAGGTAGAGGAGTCGCCACCTCCTTGCGGATTTCCAGCAGCCGGAGAAGCAGGCGGCCGTCGTAGCTGCTGAAGAGAGCCAGGCAGCTCTCCAGGCCACTCTCTGTGAGCCAGCGCGCCACGTCGGTGGACCCCCACGCCTGCAGCTTTTCGATGGCAGCGCCCCTGGGCTGGACGAGCGTGGCCGAGAGCGAGGAGGAGGCCGCGGCCTTCACAGGGCCTGGCAGCAGCCACGCGCACGCGGGCAGAGAGTGGTGAGAGAGCGACGACCGATTCGAGAGAGACGCAGGCCTGGGCTGACTCCCAGCCGCAACCTCATCATGTTACCATGATTTCCATTTGATTTACATTTGGGCTCGCAATGCCAATTGATGATGTCATGTGTGATTGTCTTTGGAATCCCACAATGCCCTGTGAGCCCTGTGCGTGTGGTGTGTGGTTACAATCCCACAATGCCCTGTGAGCCCTGTGCGTGTGGTGTGTGGTTACACTCCCACAATGCCCTGTGAGCCCTGTGCGTGTGGTGTGTGGTTACAATCCCACAATGCCCTGTGAACCCTGTGCGTGTGGTGTGTGGTTACAATCCCACAATGCCCTGTGAGCCCTGTGCGTGTGGTGTGTGGTTACAATCCCACAATGCCCTGTGAGCCGTGTGGTGTGTGGTTACACTCCCACAATGCCCTGTGAACCCTGTGCGTGTGGTGTGTGGTTACACTCCCACGATGCCCTGTGAACCCTGTGCGTGTGGTGTGTGGTTACAATCCCACAATGCCCCGTGAGCCCTGTGCGTGTGGTGTGTGGTTACACTCCCACAATGCCCTGTGAACCCTGTGCGTGTGGTGTGTGGTTACAATCCCACAATGCCCCGTGAGCCCTGTGCGTGTGGTGTGTGGTTACACTCCCACAATGCCCTGTGAACCCTGTGCGTGTGGTGTGTGGTTACACTCCCACAATGCCCTGTGAGCCCTGTGCGTGTGGTGTGTGGTTACAATCCCACAATGCCCCGTGAGCCCTGTGCGTGTGGTGTGTGGTTACACTCCCACAATGCCCTGTGAACCCTGTGCGTGTGGTGTGTGGTTACAATCCCACAATGCCCCGTGAGCCCTGTGCGTGTGGTGTGTGGTTACACTCCCACAATGCCCTGTGAACCCTGTGCGTGTGGTGTGTGGTTACACTCCCACAATGCCCTGTGAGCCCTGTGCGTGTGGTGTGTGGTTACAATCCCACAATCCCCTGTGAGCCCTGTGCGTGTGGTGTGTGGTTACACTCCCACAATGCCCTGTGAGCCCTGTGCGTGTGGTGTGTGGTTACACTCCCACGATGCCCTGTGAACCCTGTGCGTGCGCTGCGAGCGTCCGTCACCGTCCATGGTGTCGCCTTCGCTGTCACGCCCGCGCCCGTGCAGCTCCTTGACGAGTTTGTTGAAGTTCTGCTCAAAGTTGGTATTTGTGCCAAAGTCCATCCACAGCTTGGCACCGACGATGATGCCCAACCAGCCGTCGGGCCGGTATTTGCGCTCCATCATGAGAGGAATGACCGGCTTGTGCAGCTGGAACGTGTACTCTGCCTCTGTGCCGCCACACGCACGCCAGCTCGCTGCCCAGTTCCGCTCGGCCGCTCGACATAACTCGTGTGACGTTCGTGACTGTTCTCTATTCCCAACGTGCCGCCCGTGGCCAAATCAACCGAAAATGCGCACGATCTCATCAGAAATCGGAAGCCGAGCAGGTTTGAATCTGGATAGCGCGTCGATAGGTGACCACTGTGCATGCACAGCACAGGTTGTCATAGGAGTTTGCCGGGCTAAGTAGTGGACAGCAGAGGGCATTGCAGACAAACCCATTATTGTATTGCAATACGGTACTATGATTCCACGTCTATGCTAACCGCCTTCAACTTTCCATGTTTACCAAGTAACAAGTTTAGTCGGAGGGAGCAGCAACAAACCCAGCGACGGATCTCACAGCCGTCAACAACGGGGAAGGGGAGGGCGCTCCGTACCGGTGCGGCAGCTGGGGCTCTCCTTGTACTTCTGGGAGCAGCAGACGAGCACCACGGCGGCGTTCTCCACGGCCTCCGCCATGGCCTGCAGCGTGGAGCCCTCCATTTGCTCCACGTCCATCCACACGCGGAAGCCCTGGCTCTGTCGGGTACGGGCAGCGGCGTCAGGGAGCGCGAACGAGTCGGAGGGCACGGCGTGCCGCCCGAAGGTTCGCTGGGGCGCGTCGCGGCGAGAAGGGACGACGCCGCGTGCTCGAGGCTAATCGTCATTTGGAGCGGCAGGAAGAGGAAGAGACCCACCTGGGGAGGATGTCCAGCGAGGAGGCGGCGCGTTGACATCGTCCCAGGTGCAAGATTAATCATTATGACGTCACAGGACTAGGTAACACGGCATTGGCTTGGAGGCCTTCATTCAGCAGTGGATTAATGGTGGCTGATAATGATCACACGGTCCATGCATAAAATGACGGATGAGCAACGAACCCGAGACACTGGATAATAAGCACATCACAAATAGCACGGGTTTAGGGTCATCAAGACATCGTACATAGCCCCTAGGGATTGGGGGGTACGTATGTCGCACAGCCCCTGGGCAATGTATGATGGTGCAGGACTCGGATTGCAATCAACATCAGAGGCCCTGGCCCATGGGCTCACCTTGAGTCTATCTTTCACTTGGATGAGCACGGCCTGGTAGTCCCACTGATAGCTGATCATGATGTGGTTTGTGCAGGCACCTGTGAACGGTTTATCACAGACACAAGCAGTTGGTCGCGAAAACCCTTGTGCTGCAATGCACGAGGGGTGATGTGGATGTCATCTGAAGCCTATGCCACTGATGAGTCGACTGGTGGCTTGAAGATGATTATCCTCACTAGCAGCTACCATGTTTATCAATGGTGAAGAATCCTGGAGTTCCCTGCGATCAGACCGGGCTCTCCAGGGCCATGTGGATATGGTCTCAGCTTGGTCATTACTGACTGCACAAACGACCCCCCTGGTGAGATCAAATTTGATTCCTCATTTAAATCTGGCACATATTTATTACCTAGAAATACAAAATATTTGGTGTGATCGCTGTACAGCAAACGCGTCTGTAGCAGGGCGTGCAAGAAGCCACCCAGTCTGGACAGGCGGCGAGTGGAGTGACATATCAGAGCTCTCCCTGTGACATCACAGAGCTCTCCCGTGTGACGTCACAGAGAGAGCTCTGTGACGTCACAGCTCTCCCTATGATGTCACGCAAGGGATGTATTGTGCCCTTTCTCCAAGAGTGCGCAATGAGAATATGCCCACGTCACGGCGTGATGCTGACAGGCCTGATCAGTTTTAACCTTCATCCACGAATCTACGAATAATCTCGCACCTCATGTTCAGCACTTCCTGCTGACGGGTAATTTAGCGAAGAAACGGAACATGACATATGGGGGCATTCGTGAGAGACCGGCAGGGCCAGAGCGTGCCGGGACCCACCCCCGTCTTTGACGGCCTGGTTTTGCCGGGACTTCTCGCTGCCCTTGTTGTTGATGACCCACAGCGCGCCCTCAGCCACGGCGGCGACGTCCTTGTCTTGGGAGCTCGACAGCTCCTCCAGCTGCTGCAGGAGCTCCTCGTCTTTGGCAAGGGGAAGGACGAGGAGATGGCGGCGAGTGTCAGCTGCGGAGCTGGCCATCACTCTCAGGTGCCCCTTGCTGAGGTGCTATTATTATTGTTGTAAGCAGCGGCACCGCCGGCATGCGATGTCATGGGAGATGGAAACAAATGGGCTAGCTTGTTTTCATGCTGGTGCGCAGAACATTTGAATGGAAACAGTTTCATGTGAAAATAAGTATAATCTTCAATGTTGCTCTGAAGATGGCGAGTTTAGCAACTGACTTCCTTGAGCTGTGTGAGCTGTGAATCGGTATACGCTCCTTAAAGTCAATCTGAATGTCTAATATGACAGATATTCCTCCATCCTTCGAAATATGAATTAAAACATGGCATTGCTAAATGCACACACCTCCGATTAGCACAGTTGGCTACGTACGGTGTGAAAGACGTTCAACATACAACACGCGTTTCAGAGTGCATGGTGTGGGTTTGGGGGGTTGGGAGTCGGAGCACCTCTGGGCCCAGTGAGGATTCTGCTGCTCCTCCTACAGCCTGAGAATGAACGCCGTGCCCCCTCCCTCCCGTGCCCCCCCCCACAGTGGCGCGCACACGGGGACCTCGTTTCTTCTCTCCGGGATCAGCGACCTCGAAAATATTTCCGCACCTGGAACTTGACGTCCGGTATACCTTACCGCTACAGCTGCGGATTTTAAGTCGGGTGTTGCTCGTAGACTACCCATCGTAGTCTAACGGCATCCCGGAAAATATTGAGTGGCAAAACCAAGGCGTGGACGTACCCTTCTGCAGGACGGTGCGGATCTCCTCGTCGAAGGAAATCTGCCAGACCACCTTGGCGGCGAAGCGCTGCTCCTTGCTCTTGCCCGACCTCATGAGCTGCACCATGATGGGCACGGCGCCCTCGTCGTGGATCTGCGAGCGCCGACAGCTCCATCACAACTCACACGGCTCGGGTCGGGGGGGTTCACGCGGGGTTCACGGGGGGGTTTGTTTAGGGAGGCGACTGACCGCTGGAGTGCATTAGCAAGTGCCGTATCATCAATTACCCTGGCTGCTAATGTACAACTCCATCATCAAGTACCTTCTGCTTGTTCTTCTCAGAGGTGGCGATGAGAGACAGGGCCTCCGTGAGCTCCTCCGCCGTGAAGCCCTTGTAGCGGCCGTTTTCGATCGCCTTATTCAGCATCCCAACCATGATGCTGATGGCATCTGCGACCACGGCAACAACGCACACCCAGCCTGCTCATTTCGCACCACGCACTGCGGGGAATAGGCAACGCTCACCCGTGTTCTCTCTTACCCTAAACAATGGACCATGTTTTATTTTGTTAGCGCTGCCTATATATATTCTTGTCAATACATATGTAGTTGAGTAGGAAGGTGCGTAGTGCAAACAGTGTGATTGCATGGTAACAAAGACAATACGGGTCATGTTGGGTCAGCCTGTAGCGAAGGCAAATACAGTACAGGTTATGTTAGGGCAATTAAGCTGGGCGAGCCAAGGACGGCTGTGATTGGTTGGTGTTGTTGTCAAGGCTGGAGTGGCGTCTTGAAGTCTGGCGAGGTAACAGATGCAGAGGGCACGCGGAGCGCCGTTATGCGGGTTGATTAATTGGGGTGTGATGAGAGCGTGGAAAAATTGGGGAGTCGGGAATTAGAGTGGGGAGTTGGCGTTGGGAGCTGGACGAGGCAAGACGTGGAGTTTGGAGGAGAGTTTAGAGACAGAATTTGGGACAGAGTTTGGAGACAGAAATGGAGACAGAGTTTGGAAACAGTGTGGAGCGAAGCTGAAGAAGAGAAGCAGCTAGCAGTAGAGAGAGCGTAACGATAGCGGAGCTGAAGAAGAGAAGCAGTTCGCAGTGGAGAGAGCATAGCGTCGGTGATAGCAGAGAGCAGAGACAGTTAGCAGTGGAGAGAGCATAGTGACAGTGATAGCGGAGAGCAGAGAAGTAGCTCGCAGTGGAGAGAGCATAGTGACGGTGATAGCGGAGAGCAGAGACGAAGTAGCTCGCAGTGGAGAGAGCATAGTGACGGTGATAGCGGAGAGCAGAGACGAAGTGGTTAGCAGTGGAGAGAGCATAGCGACGGTGATAGCGGAGAGCAGAGAAGTAGCTCGCAGTGGAGAGAGCATAGCGACGGTGATAGCGGAGAGCGGAGATGAAGAAGTTAGCGGTGGAGTAAGCGCAGTAATAGTGGGGAGTGGAGAGACAAAGGTGGCGAGCGAGCCGAGTGAAGCACGGCGTGCGAGCCATGGCGACATGGATATTGTGGAATATAGAGGACATGCGGAGAGTTGTAAATAAAGCGGTGTTCGAAGAAAGACAAAAGTTGTCCGAGTGAAATCGAACATTACACATATAGACAGTATTCTGAACTAAGTCAGTGTCAACACGGTTTACAGGGCCTTTCTGGCATATCCTCAAATGCTGGCTTTACCGCATCAGGCTTGGACAGGTTTTACTGCACTCCGTAATCCATTTGCTGGATTTATTTTGGCTGCAATTTTACTAAATCTCGATCCTGGGTGCCGCGGGCGGCATTGTCAGGTGCGCTGCCACCCAGCTGGTGCTGGTGCAAGCGAGACGAGTGGGTGAGAGTGAGTGGGGGAGAGTGGGTGGGTGGGTGAGAGTGAGTGGGTGGGTGAGAGTGAGTGGGTGGGTGAGAGTGAGTGGGGGAGAGTGAGTGGGTGAGACTGAGTGAGTGGGTGAGAGTGAGTGGGTGGGTGAGAGTGGGTGAGAGTCGGTGTGAGTGAGAGTGAGTGAGTGGGTGAGAGTGAGTGGGTGGGTGAGAGTGAGTGTGGGAGAGTGAGTGGGTGGGTGAGAGTGAGTGGGTGGGTGAGAGTGAGTGGGTGAGTGAGTGAGAGTGGGTGGGTGAGGGTGAGTGGGTGAGAGTGAGTGGGTGAAAGTGAGTGAGTGGGTGAGAGTGAATGGGTGGGTGAGAGTGAGTGGGTGAGTGGGTGAATGGGTGGGTGGGTGAGAGTAGGTGGGTGTGAGTGAATGGGTGGGTGAGAGTGGGTGGGTGAGAGTGGGTGGGTGAGAGTGAGTGAGTGGGTGTCTGGGTGAGCGTTATGGGGGGGGGGGGGGTGCCAGCGGGCCACGTGGCGCTGCCCGTACTCGACTTGTCCATGATGAGCTCGGCTTCGCTCTCGTCGATGATGTAGCCCAGCAGCATGATGGCCACCACCTTGAGGAAGTTGTCCTTGATGCTCATGTAGGGGATGACGGTCTCCATGGCGTTCTCGCTGCGGAACAGCTGCCGGTTGGCCGGCGCCTTGGCCACGTTGTGCAGGATGCTGAGCGACGCCTTGAGCAGATAGTGCACATTCTGGGGGGGGCGGGGGGGGCACGCGGTCAGGGGGCTCGAGCCGCAAGCGGCGGCGCTGCCCCGCGGTGCCGCTCCTGGTGGAGGCGCACCAGGAGGAGGAGTGAATGGTCGAGTTTGGTGTCTCACACGAAAGTTCACCCGACCCCCAAATTACTCAATTTGGTATCGCACGCGGCGGCGACATCATCCCGCGACTGCGAAAGCTTGGCAGGACCCTCCTGAGAACGAATCTGGAGACTCAGGGAGGCTGTCCTTGGCGTAGCCGCGGACGAATGATCGTGCCAGTGACCCAAGTGGTAGGAAGCGAGGGATGGCTGACCCCGCAGATAAACCCAAAGTGCTCGGCTGCGAGTTGGCCAGGGGGCGGCAGTCAAGCGAGCGGGATCACGTCCACGTCTGTGCGGACTCGTGAGCACTGTCCCCACGCTTTGTGGAGGCGTTTTGATCCCCCCCCCCCACGCGCAGGACACAAACTGGGCCTGCACGGCCACTCCGGGGCAGAACCCTCCACTTGCCTGGGTACAAATACATAAATGTCTTTGTTACATTCATTAGCTTATTATACTTAACAGGACCTCACCCGTACCTCACCCGTACCTCACCTATACCTCACCCGTACTTCACCCGTACCTCACCTATACCTCACCCGTACCTCACCCGTACCTCACCAGTACCTCACCCGTATCTCACCTATACCTCACCCGTACCTCACCAGTAACTCACCAGTGCCTCACCAGTACCTCACCCGTACCTCACCAGTACCTCAACTATACCTCACCAGTACCTCACCAGTGCCTCACCAGTACCTTACCAGTGCCTCACCAGTGCCTCACCCGTACCTCACCTGTACCTCACCCGTACCTCACCAATGCCTCACCCGTACCTCACCAGTAAGTACCTCACCAGTCCCTCACCAGTACCTTACCAGTGCCTCACCAGTGCCTCACCCGTATCTCACCAGTACCTCACCCGTACCTCACCAGTGCCTCACCCGTACCTCATCAGTACCTCACCCGTACCTCACCAGTGCCTCACCCGTACCTCACCTGTACCTCACCCGTACCTCACCCGTACCTCACCAGTACCTCACCCGTACCTCACCAATGCCTCACCCGTACCTCACCAGTACCTCACCAGTACCTCACCCGTATCTCACCCGTACCTCACCAGTACTTCACTCGTACCTCACCCGTACCTCACCAGTGCCTCACCCGTACCTCACCAGTACCCCACCAGTACCTCACCCGTACCTCACCAGTACCTAACCAGTACCTCACCAGTACCTCACCAGTGCCTCACCAGTACCTCACCCGTACCTCACCAGTGCCCCACCCGTACCTCACCCGTACCTCACCTATACCTCACCGTACCTCACCAGTGCCTCACCAGTACCTCAGCCGTACCTCACCAGTGCCCCACCCGTACCTCACCAGTACCTCACCAGTGCCTCACCAGTACCTCAGCCGTACCTCACCAATGCCTCACCCGTACCTCACCAGTACCTCACCCGTACCTCACCAGTACCTCACCCGTACCTCACCAGTACCTCACCCGTACCTCACCCGTACCTCACCAGTACCTCACCCGTACCTCACCCGTACCTCACCAGTGCCTCACCAGTACCTCACCCGTACCTCACCCGTACCTCACCCGCACCTCACCAGTGCCTCACCAGTACCTAACCAGTACCTCACCAGTACCTCACCAGTGCCCCACCCGTACCTCACCCGTACCTCACCTATACCTCACCAGTACCTCACCCGTACCTCACCAGTGCCTCACCAGTGCCTCACCCGTACCTCACCCATACCTCACCGTACCTCACCAGTGCCCCACCCGTACCTCACCAGTACCTCACCAGTGCCTCACCAGTACCTCAGCCGTACCTCACCAATGCCTCACCCGTACCTCACCAGTACCTCACCCGTACCTCACCAGTACCTCACCCGTACCTCACCAGTGCCTCACCAGTACCTCACCTGTACCTCACCCGTACCTCACCCGTACCTCACCCGCACCTCACCAGTGCCTCACCCATACCTCACCCGTACCTCACTAGTGCCTCACCAGTACCTCACCAGTACCTCACCCGCACCTCACCAGTGCCTCACCCGTACCTCACCAGTACCTCACCAGTACCTCGCCCGTACCTCGACCGTACCTAACCAGTACCTCACCAGTACCTCACCAGTGCCTCACCTGTACCTCACCCGTACCTCACCAGTACCTCACCAGTACCTCACCCGTACATCACCTATACCTCACCTGTACCTCACCTGTAACTCGCCCGTACCTCACCAGTACCTCACCAGTACCTCACCCGTGCCTCACCAGTGCCTCACCAGTACCTCACCCGTACCTCACCAGTGCCTCACATATACCTCATCAGTGCCTCACCAGTACCTCACCAGTGCCTCACCAGTACCTCACCAGTACCTCACCAATACCTCACCCGTACCTCACCCGTACCTCACCAATACCTCACCCGTACCTCACCAGTACCTCACCAATACCTCACCCGTACCTCACCAGTACCTCACCCGTACCTCACCAGTACCTCACCAGTGCCTCACCCACCTGCTGTTTGAAGCGCTCGCGGTAGGGCTCGTGTTTCAGGATGGTGAGCAGGTACTTGATGAGGCCGACCTTGCCCAGGGCCTTTGCTGTGGACACACGGCACGACCCGGCCCACCACCTCGTGACGACCTCTCGATTTGTGCCCGCCAGAGGCCCCCTCCCTCAAGCCGCGTCGCACGCGCAACGTTGGTCCGCGGTTGTCGCGTTCCATGTGTGCCGGCAAGCGGCTTATGTTTGGAAGGGCACCCCCAGTGGTAGCTGTCCCTGTGCCGCCACAAGGTGACTCAGCACCTGGCCCCCCAATCGGGCACGAGCCTGTCAGTAGGGGGCCATGCGTGGTCAGTCCACGAGAGGAAGGGACGTGGATAGAGTTCAGCCAAGACCAGTCTGTACTGTTGGCAACGGATTCATCAATAATAATAACAATGTATTTATTAAATCAGGAAAGCCTCACTGAGTCTCAACACTCTATTTGAGGAGGAGCAGCGCGCCTTGTGGCCAAGCCGGCAGAGTCTCCACCGGAACAAACACAACTCGCGCACCACCCCAGGGCACGACACTGAATGGGCCGCACGGATCTATTGAGGACCACCCTGCTTGCTGTACTGCCAACTGGCCACCTCGCAGACACAGCAGCGGGTTCTTAGATTCGCAGCTCCTCTCCACCAACTCGATTCTCCAAAGCCCGCGCCGATGTCTCACCGAGCTGCAGGCTGGCGTCGCTGAAGTTCCAGACGGCGTTGAGGACGTAGTAGGCAGGGAACCACACGGAGTTGTCCTTCATGAGGCCCTTGCCCGACAGCTCCAGCAGGGCCTTCATGAAGATCTCTGTAGCCGCGACAGGAACGAGCTTCACTTCAAGGACGCTGTCAGCGGTCACACGAAACTCTGAGCAGCAACGTCGCTGGTAGTGTACCTGCAAATAGCTCACTCGGGATCACGCACAGCAGCCACATCGCGCCCCCACTGCGAAAACTTGACGTGACCCTCCTGAACAAGTCTCGAGACATGGCGAGGTTTTCCTGGGCAAACGAGCGTGATAATAAAATAATCGGTGCTGACGTGAAAAGGTTGTCCCAGTGGTCACATTCACCCAAGGCGTGCAGAACGTGATCGTGATGGACTGAATGCGCCCCTGCTACCCTCAGCAGTGCCTCGGGCGAGGCGGAATACGAATCGGGTCCACGGCGTGTACCTATCTCCCTATTACCGCAGCGTTATCGACGATTGTGTCGAGTGTTGTTAATGTGACTGAGACTTGGTGCAGCATCACAGGCGACTTCACACCGCACAATGACACTGCGGGCTTCGTGGTGCTGCAGGGTGATCTCGGGCTGACGGCGTGCGTGCGGGGTGCATGGTGCAGGGTGATCTCGGACCTTCAGAGTTTTCATCGGTCAAGACGTCGCAGATGACCCCCCGCGACTCCTCGTGCTCCCAGTAGACGCTGCAGAGCTGCTTCATCAGCTCCATGCATTCGTCGCACGCGAAGCTGCCACGCGCGCGGCGGCGAGTGGCGCCGCATCAGCAGTCGGTGAGCACTCAACAACAAATCCCAGTCGGGAGTTTGGCTCGGCCTATCATCCCTCTGGGGTGTGTAAAATGATTACCGCATTTGTGACGAGTCATCAGCGATTGCGTCTGTAGAGCCGTTTCACGCGGATGAAAATAATAAGTAATTTTTATTTTTTTAAATCACATTTGAGCAGGTCAGGCCCATTTAGCTCTCTTGTTCTTTTTCAGAAGCGACCTGGCCACACATGATAGCTCAACGAGTGGCGTCTCGTGCGGAAATGGTAAAGTAGCCAAATACTCTAAACGCGTGTTGATTCTAAATGTGGAGGGACAAACTAAGGATCCGGAGAAAAATCCTCGTGACCAAGGGGAGAAAGAGACACGCAAACTCCAAATATACAGGCCCCAGGCTCGGGATCGAACCCACGACTTCCTCCATATTGCTGCACGGCTTGGCTTGTGCTGTGGAAACACACCCCGACGCGTCCCGAGGCGTGCCGGGCTGGCTCGGCTCGGCACTGGCGCGGCTCGGCACTGGCACGGCTCGGCACTGGCACGGCTCGGCACTGGCACGGCTCGGCACTGGCACGGCTCGGTTGTGCGGTAAAGGAGATGTGCAGGCGCGCGTGCCTACCTCTCCAGGCCTTTGAGGCTGTTGAGGATTTCCCTGATTTCCTCCTGGATATCACCCATCGTTCAAGCGGGACGGGAAACTCTGCAACACTTTGAGACACGCGATTTGATGTCATAATACAGAACGTTCCGTAGCAATGAGGGAAAAACCTGTGCACGCGAGGGATCGACTCAAAGCACAGAGTGAGGGTCACACACTGCGAAACGCATCATCCTCAGTCACCTGTTTAACACGTAGCAGGATTTCGCGACCACTATTATTCATAATAAAGATTTTTGGGTGAGATCGCATTATTTATAAATGTGTCGTAACCCTCCACCACCCGACACGGCCAATCAGTAAAAAATGTGTCACGTGAACAAAACGCCAATTTAGGTAATTCTTTAGCCCACCGGTGTGTTTGAAGAGTGAATCCGCATCATTTAGAATTTGAGTAGTACGACGTTTCGCTGGTAATTACATCCAGCATCTTTGGGCAATTTGCCAGACTAGTGAAGCCATCCCACGTGCTCCCGGTCTTAAATAGAGCAGGATGACGTCATCGTTGTTGAACCTCATCAAGTTTCAAGATCAGAGGCAGAGGTGGGCGAGTTATTGCAATTATGTAATAGATCAGTAATCTGTCACTGAGCACGTGACTCTTCGAAGGAATTGCAATATGTATTGTGTATTTCTTAATAATACGCTTCCAGGCTGCGCTTAGTCTGTAGCTATCACAGCGGTTGAAATTATTTGTATTCTCAATTTCGATTGATTCTCTAATTAGTCTTGGCCAGTAATAATTCGTTTTGCATAACACTTCAACGTTATCAAAAGCAATTGAGTGTCCTTGTTGGCAAGCATGCTCTGCCACTGCTGACAGCTGTGTTTGAGATAATGTAATGTTCCTTTGGTGTTATTTTAGTCTTACGCTGATGTTACGTCACGTCTGTCCAATATAGCATTTACCGCATAAGCAATTGATCCGATATACCCCTTGTGTTGACAACTTCTCTGTAACCTGACCACATAGCGGCATTTCGTGTTCGCCTTCCAAACGTAAATGTCGGAGCTGATAGGTGTGGGTTGAGGCGACGCAAATCAGGTAGCGGCATTCATGAAGTGACGACGTATTTGCGAATCAACGTAAACGGGAGAGACGTAAATGGGGGATTTGCTGCGCTAGGGAAACCTTGCCCAACGCGGCTTTATCGAGTGCGTGTTTCGGCTCTGTACGGTTTTACCGAATGAAGTCTGTGTTCTGGAACAGGGGGTGATGTTTCAGCTCTGCACGTTTTACCGAATGAAGTCTGTGTTCTGGAACAGGGGGTGATGTTTCAGCTCTGCACGATTTTACCGAATGAAGTCTGTGTTCTGGAACAGGGGGTGATGTTTCAGCTCTGCACGGTTTTACCGAATGAAGTCTGTGTTCTGGAACAGGGGGTGATGTTTCAGCTCTGCACGGTTTTACCGAATGAAGTCTGTGTTCTGGAACAGGGGGTGATGTTTCAGCTCTGCACGGTTTTACCGAATGAAGTCTGTGTTCTGGAACAGGGGGCGATGTTTCAGCTCTGCACGGGTTCACGATGCTAAGATTTTCATCTCCGCGTCGAATGGTAGTGCTAGTGGTCGAAGATTCCGCGTTTCTATGGCAGGGGCCAGTGTCTCCATCAGACAACCACTCTTGACTTCCCCATCAAGTGGCACTCGTTTTATCAACCCCGCAAGGATGATGGGCTGAGTCAAATCCAAACTAGGATATGATTTGAACTCACAATCTTCTTTTACAGGCGAGTTAACACGGCCATAATTATATACAGCATACAAATAATACATAGCATATACCTACATACAGCATATACATATATACAGTAATAAAAGATTGAGATTATTATCAAGTCGTGATTAAGGTGCGAACAATCAAACCTGGCAGGGCGCTTCCAGTGCCGGTGGTGGTGGTGCTGTGATGATGGTGGTGGTGATAGTGATGCTGTGATGCTGGTGATGATGCTGTGATGCTGGTGATGATGCTGTGTCGCTGTGATGATGCTGTGATGCTGTGTCGCTGTGATGATGCTGTGATGCTGGTGGTGATGATGCTGTGATGGTGTGTCGCTGTGATGCTGCTGGTGGTGATGGTGGCGATGGTGGTGCTGTGATGCTGTCGCTGTGATGCTGCTGGTGGTGATGGTGGCGATGGTGGTGCTGTGATGCTGTGTCGCTGTGATGCTGCTGGTGGTGGCGATGGTGATGCTGTGTCGCTGTGATGCTGGTGATGATGCTGTGATGCTGGTGGTGATGATGCTGTGATGCTGGTGGTGATGATGCTGTGATGCTGGTGATGATGCTGTGATGCTGGTGGTGATGATGCTGTGATGCTGGTGGTGATGGTGGTGCTGTGATGCTGTGTCGCTGTGGACGCGAGTCCTCTGCTGGGTTGTGAAGGCGGCTCCTGTGGCACCACGGCGCGCGCGTGTGTGTATATGTGCCATGCGTCCAGGACAAACATCGGGCCCTTTCAGTACCACGAGCACAATGGAGCACCCACGAAGGGCCATTGTCTTCACTTGCAGACCCATGCTTGTCGGGGCTTGCAGGTAACTAGAACCCTGTACAAGCAAGAATGTGCATTCTCTTGAGAATGGACATTGAATCAGTGTTTCCATGTATGTTTTAGTCATGCGTTTTTCATCAGTTGCATTTCGTAAAAACGGCAGTTTAAGTATTTTCGTGTAATGCCAAATTCTGGGAGTTATTTTACGAGCTGAATTCAGTTATGGTATTTGGAGCCAAATTCAGACATGCACCCCCCAGCATGGTAATGGGGAATGTCCACCACTGGATTAAGAGCTATAAACAGGGTTTGAGTAGTATTGAGCAACACCGCACAATATCAGCGGGAAACCACACATACAATGTTATCCCCAACCCCGTAAATGCCAATCAGCATTACGTTTAACCTAGACCAGACGAATACTATACCATTAAAAAACACATTCATTTGACTGGCATCTTGTGTTGTAAACCAACACGAGTAGAATATAGGCGTGGTCACACATCACATTCATAGTTGTCCAGGTCTCCACTTGCTAAAAAACAAAAATAACAAGTGATTCACACCTATTAAAATTAAAGATAATTAGTGTATTACATGCGATGTTGTTCCAACACAAAAACTATGCAACACATTGGGTGGTATTGTAACTAGGCTGCTGTTACCAATTGCGTTCAAACTGATCCCTATGGCTGCAATGCGCCGTGACACACCTTACGACAACACCTTGCCATTGAAGCACTGTACATATCACCCAAGTTGCCAAGCCATGCGCAGGAGTCACTCCAAGCACAGCTCAGATGTAGTGAGCTCGCCGTTTGTTGCAAAGGTTCACAGTGCAAATCCAGCAGGCCATCCCGGTTATTACTGTGGGTGTACGAACCGTAAGAGTGTGCGCTGTTTTCTTAATGGACGTTAAAGATCTCCCGACGTAATTCGAACTGAGTTAAGACATTGTGTACCGGCGTCTTGTTCCGAATTGTAATAATTACATGCGACGACTCGATTGCGATTCACTAGTGCCAGAAGGGAATTGCATCGTGACGGGGAACTCAACCGAGTCGGAGTGTGTGTGAGACTCCCAGGTCTCGTCTTGATGTGAAATCACATGTGTACTTGCATTTTCTTCTTAAGTTACTCACTTGACTGACATTAAAAACAAGGAATTCAGAAATGCACATAAGACGGATTCTTTTATTCATGCAGATTTACAATAACTGCTTCCATTACTGCCTATATACTTTAGAAAATAATCAAACTGGGGATAACGCTCAGCAAGCAAATTATAAATAAGGCATTGTAACCTTCATTTGAACTAAGGTACCCAATTGCCATATAGCAATGGTAGAGTTCATGTTTGTCATATCAACAAACTAGCATATGAATCATGAAAAACTGCCATCATATTGTCTGATTTTGTAACTGTTTAACTGCAGTATTCGATTTCAACAAGCGCTTAAATTTCATAGATGGGAAACATGGAAATAAAAATATAAAATAACGGCTACACTAGTAACGTGAGTGCTGCTTTGATGGGCAAGGTCAACATAGCCATATTACTGGACGTCAATTTACTTTGCTTCGTTAACGAAGCTAGAACTTTAATTTGACAGATGAATTCAGAAGAGCGCTAAGAAGCAATGCTGTCGAGTTATAAAACGTAAACAAATAAAAATCACCAGCAGTTAATATTTTAAACGACGACATTTAGCGCAGGGAATGACACGTGATCAAGGAACCGTGCTCCTGACACAACACCGCACACGTCGGCAAAGGAATGCTCTGCTCATTTGTGGTAATTCACCAGTGTAGAAATGTTTATCGGCAGCAGCAGTTCCACAAGCAAATCTTCACGTTTGAACACGGAATTTTCCAAGTCTCACACCTTTGCTGGTGTCGCTGCTTTTGGCTTCTTGAGGTGGTGGTAATTAGGAAGAATCTTCATGAGAAAATCCAGCTGCAGGGACTGAGACTGACAAAAAAGCCCACAGAGTTGGGTCATGAGTTTGGTACGAACGCACTTGTGCCCAATGATCCTGCTGTCACCAGCATACAGGTCAGAGATTTCAAGTTTTGGTTATTAACGTATGCAGAAAGCAAAACCTACAAAAAAATTTAAACTCCCAGAATTGCAAACAAAATAGGTTTGATTTTAAATTATATTAAGTTTCATTTAATGTCAATTATGCTGAACATTTTTCATTCTGGTTGAATGTTTTACAAATGTTGTTATAGTTTTCCGTTTTAGACAAGGTAGAAAATAAATTCATCTCATTCAACCCATTAACTCTCTGCAGTGACACCAACAGGTAGACGTGATTGAGGCAGGTGTAATGACTGTTTACAAAGAGAAAAATATATCTTCTAATCATTAAAAAAGAAGCATGCCAAATATGCTAGTTTTACGGCAGAAAAGGGTAAACAATTCTAGATTTGAAGCTTTCGTGACTGCAAGGATTCATACTCTTTGTTTTTTTCGGTAAAGTCACGTAGGTAAAATAAAATTTTAAATAAAAGAAAACTAAATTAAATCACGACGTTTCGGAGGCTACACAAGCTTCCGTCTTCAGGTGGAACAGTCACAGCAAGATAGCTGCATCAAGATGCATCAAGATGCAGCTATTTTGCTGTGACTGTTCCACCTGAAGACGGAAGCTTGTGTTGCCTCCGAAACGTCGTGATTTAATTTAGTTGTTTTCTTTTATTTTAAATTTTATTTTACCTACGTGACTTTACTGAAAAAACCAAAGAGTAAGGGTAAACAACTTGGACAATAATAATCGAATGTAGCAAGAAAATGCTGCAAATGACACATGGAAAAGGAGGTTGTGATGGGAGGAACACATATGCTGGATATCTGTGAAAAAGAGCTTCATAGCTCACAGGATTCCTCCACTATAAAGATCTGATTCTAACGCAGAACTGGCGACAGAGATGAGCACTAGAGTGAGACCCAGAGGTCAATGGCAAAGGGGAGGATCTAGAGATAGTGGGAAAAATTAACAGCAGACTTTTCACCAACTGTGGGATCAGGCAGAAGCCAATGGTGAAGTGTGGTGACACCTTGACCCTTCCACTCATGACCCCCCTTCCCCGGCAGTGCTGCACCTGTGGTTTCTCGGACTGGGTTCTGCGCGAGCAGCGCTCGCCGAAGACCACGGTGTTCTCGGGGATCACTTCGTCCGTGTTGACCTTACAGCAGGCGCCCACCACACAGCCGCTGCTCAGCACTGTGCTCCTCCCAACCATGGCTGGAAAACAAACGCACTTTTGAGCTGCATCGAGGTTGGGCTGCAATGAATGAGAGCAGTGCTCATGGTTTTTAAATTATACTTGGATTATCATAGAGGTGATCATGTGGCTCAGCGCATTAGCCGGCACCGCTGAGCTGCTGGATTCAAATCCAGACTTCAGCCACCCGTGATTAAGCTGGGTTCCCAAGAGTAGCGAGTTGATCTTCTCAGTGTCACCACCAACAATAAAACCCCTTAGGAAATTGGTTTGTCACCTCATTTAGCATATTCCAGCTCTGAAGATTAAACTTTTGATTTGAATGACATGCAACTAACATGTAATGCGTTACATATGAAAAGGTTTGCCTCCCAATGTGGATGAGTGGCTTATAGCAGGGACTCCAGAAGCAGCTGTGATGTCATCTTCCAGGGGCTACGCTGGCACAGGCTGAATGGCAATGTATTTGGTGATAACGTTACACCAGTGTCACCACTGCAAAATTGTGAGAAAATAATTATATAATCAATCTATACTGCAACCGTGCTATTGGCATCATGTCTGTCTTGACACTGACCAACTTCTGCGTGGCATCGTGAGATGAAGCTGCATTGAGATTAAATGTAAATTCACACTATATCATAACGTGTGTGAAGAAATTAATATATGGAATTCTTGTAACATCACATGTATCACAAAACTACTTCTAGGATCCCTTCAAAAGGCACCTTCATCCGACCGAGGTATAAACCTGTTGCAAGTGTGGAGCATGTTCTTTAGAGCTGGATGAAGTCAAACCAAGTATAGACAACACATTAAAGTTTTTTTTCTGCATTCAATCTCCTAAAAAATAGTGAAAGATTAAAAAAACCCATAGAAAAATGTCCAAATGTCCCAGTACCTTTTGATTCGATAGTATTATAGTCTCCGATTTTCAAGGCTTCGCTTTCTGAATAAGAAAGTTAAAGGTAGCTACAACGCAGAGACAATACCAAAGGCTTCTCAAACATGCATAGCAATGTAAAGATAACAGGATTTCTTTACTTTTAATCAGTGAAAATAAATGTATCGACGTTTCAGCCAACTAGCCTTCAAAGAATATTGGTGTCAGCGAGTCTGTCCTGCTCCTACACACGCATTAGTGTGTATAGGTAGAGAGGCTGGAAGGCACAGGGACCCGGAC